ACACAAAGATTCCTCTTCTCGTTGAGCTCATCTTAGGACACCTCCGTTATCTTTTAACAGATGTGCCGCCCAGCGAAACTCCTCACTTGGCAATGTCTTCCACCTAGGTCAATGAGTGCTTGCTGAAGTCTTCTACTCGCTTCGAATGTCACTGGAAGCATACCTCCGATCCTGTAGATTTGCCTTTCATCTCCATCTCAAAATTCGGAGGATGTGCAGAAACCTTCAGACTCTGCTATAGATTTTGTAGACTTATTACCGTTTAGCCTTGATGAGAAAGTTTTGAAACTTTCAACAAATATAGTTCAAAGGTCTATCGTACATCTATTTGATCCCGATCTTGGTTGATATTTTCCTGTACCATCCCACAACATCTTGCTGTTTACTCAGTTAAACCAGTATCTTTTGAGGTAAGTCTAGATCTTGCATAGCTCTTGCAAGTTTCAGTGGCATAGCAACTTGGTCTGACGGGTGGAAGAGCGATCACGAGAGGATCGGGTTACGGCTCCGGCCGCTACAGCAGCAGCTAGGCTGCTGCTCGTGGGACCAGCGAGTGTGGGCAGCTCTATTGTCGTCCGAGCTTCAGGTTTTCAGCTTCAGCTTCTTGTGGACTCTGCAGCTGGGAGGTCCGGTGGAGCTTGGTGGCGACGATGAAGAGTGCAGGTCTAGGGCAGTCTCCGTCGGGCGTTGTCGTTGTGCAGGTTCAGAGTTGCTTTGGAGGGCGAGACCTCGCCGCTCGAGATCAAGAGATCGATATCTTACGAAAAGCGCAAGACACTCAAAGATCTAACACTACTGTGCAACATCGGATAGATACACGTTATGCATCTCTTCTAAGGATAAAATCGACTCTTTGTGCTCAACGGCGGTCGTCGACTATTCTATAACCTAGGTCTGCTCACAAAACGTCATAGCTAGCTTTTTCTTCGAAGAGATTTCTACCCCCGCCATGGTTCTCGTTTCAGTAGAGCTCTCGATCTAGTAAAGCTTTCAGTTGTGCATTGCAACCTGTGCGGGCAAAAACCGCTATCTACTGACAATAGCCATAAGCTCCCTCCTACAGTCCCACTGACCTCGATTTGCGCAATTGTGCGAAGTATCCACGAGTAAAATTGTTCCGCCTTCCGAACCGTTATTCGCAAGATAGTCTCGAGCAAGCGCGACAACCCTTGCTTTTCGCTCCCATCGTACCGTATGCCGCTAACTCGACCAGGCCAGAGCTCGCCCCTTGTGCTTCAACAGCACCGCCACTGAAATCTTCAAAATTCAGCCTCGAACGAACCTCGATCCGAAAGATTAGAACTCAGCTACAAACTCGATCACGTATTCGATCGATCAAAAGTGGAGTTCAGTTCGAACCTACAACCAAACCTAATCTCAAAGACCTAATCACAAAGGCGACGAAACAAATGAACACCCTTTTGCCAGATCCCGCACTCCAGGACCATCGAGTGAGGTCTTCGAGTGAAATGAACGGGAGATTACCCACTGGAATTCCCGTCTGTTGATTACCCTACTGGCAACAAATCGTCACCGTCACAAACATGAGTCAAGCCCAACCCACTCCACACTCGGAGAATCTAGGTTGACGCAAAGGGGAAAGTCGCTCTACGCTCTCAACGCTTCCAGGCTCGACTCGAAGAACTAACGTTCTTCGAGCCGTCCCCGACTGTATACCCCTCGTGACCCGAACCCTAACTTCACGTCTAAATATAGTAAGTGCCCAGACTGCGTGAGCCGACTCGTAACTACATGACATTGCGAAATGATGTAAGTCACATTGACTATCACAATGAAGATTGACAGTCTTTCATTTTGATCTCATTTTAGTGATAAGTCTATACCACCAAATAATTTTATGTTTATTGCCGCGCTATATTCATTTTTCTTTATGAACTGAACTATGCAAATTTCTAAAGTCAAATTCTAACTAGTGCATCCACTATGAAGTGCAAACACATATTTGGTTATAGATTATTATTTTCTAAGTCTTATTAATAGTAAACATTAACATAATCTAGCAAGAATATTGAATTTAGTAAAAATAATCAAACAAAATGTAATAGTCATTAGCACTTTTCAAATATTTGAAATTTTATTTCATTCATTGTCAATGCATCTTTTCTCAATTTGACATGAATTTGCTCACCTTGCCCATAATTAAAATAATATTAAGTCTTGTACAAATCATCAAACACATGAGACGGTACACAACGTTGTCATAGAAAAATTGATTGAACTTTTTTTTTCAATGACAAAGGTTGAATTTGAAGCCAGCAAAAGTTTAACAAATTAATGTCAAAGAAATTCATACAGTTGAGGTGTACAATGTTAAATATATTAAGCATGCGTTGAACTTGCTTTGATTCAATAGTAAACTTTAATTTTTAAAATCAATATGAATACTCATTCTTAAACTATTCTCATTACTCATTAAATGAATATGTCATTCACAAAGAGTATTAAAATAATGAAATTGAAATTTTCATTATTCATGTTTTTTTCATAAATTTCATCATGTTCACTCCGTAGAAATCCTTGTGTTTTTATAAATTTCAACAAATAATACCCAAATTAATTTTCAACAATTTATCCATAAACTCATGTTGTAAAGATTACAACCTCCGTATCTTTTAGATAAAAATGGAACATACTTTACTCCTAAGACTAGAGCTAACAAAAAATAGGATAGAGCTATATATATATTATTAAATTTAATATTAAATGTACAAGTCACTATATATACTCAAAAAACTTTTTTAACTTTGAGTTTCATAATCAAAGGTTATTTTTTTCATTTTTTTAAAGTTCTCTAACTCAATGTACATAAAACTCTAAATTAACTCTACTCATAGAATATGGAAGTGAACAAACCTCTAAAGGAGTGTCAAGAATATATTAATCGTGTAGTTTAGCTTAAAATGTCATACATAAATCATTTCAACTTGAAATTTTAATAAAATAAATTTCATCAAGTATAACAATGTGATCTAGCATACATAGATTGTTGTGCCTCTATACACTAAACATATTCTTATCATTTGCTTTATTTCGAACATTATCTTTCTAGAGTTCTAGTCAAGGATTTTTTTATCTAATATTTCAAAAAATACATTATTTTTATATCATATATAAATCTAACCTAAGTAAACATACTTTCAATTCTTTCAAAGACCTAATTCTTGACAGATATAATATTGTTAAATTTACAAACTATATGATTTTCGTAAAAATTAAATCATTTGATAATAGAAAAAATACAAAAACTTTCTCTAATCTAACAAATATTATAAACTATGAGACATATAGACTCCATCCATCGCCGAAAGTCTTCGATGAGGTGCATAATTCTAAACAACTCATTCTCTTCATGATCAAATTTGTGAGTCACATTGACGAAGGACTAACAGAATTATCTATAGGCCATGTCGAATACAGAATCCGTGTGTGGGACAACGCTCATCTATAAGTTACCTGTCGAAGGAATATGCTATCCACTCCTAACATTACTCCAGTGACATTAGAAACCTGCAAGTTTTGTTTTGCTTGTTGTGAGAGTAGTTTATCTATTTAGCTCCTTCAATCTGCTCTTTTGACTCAAACCCAAACTTCCTCAAAACTCGACTGACCAGATTGCTGAGTGTATATTCTTGAGCAGCTCTCGAACAGAATTAACCCTCACGTATGTGTTCCACTCCCCTCTTCATTCAGGTGACAATACAAAGAGCTGAAGCCATGCTTTCTCTCCAGAGTTCTCAACAATACTGACTTAAATTGCAGGCCTGCAGACGTTCAAGATCAATGATTAAGTCTTAGGTAGCTGAGCTCACGGGCAGCTAAGCCGATCAGACCAAGGTAATGTAGCAAAATCCACGGAATGAGGCCTTAGGGCTATCTTTGGTGTGGACAGGTAATATTAGGGCAGTAGATATCAAAATGTATCTTCACAGCAACGTTAACTCACGACGTGATGGTTAACTTCCTCTGGATATAAAGGAGAACAGATCAATTTATGAACTTCAAACCTTGATGCCCTGAGTCCAATGTATAAAATAAACTAGGCTTGTCAACCAGGTAGTCCGCAGATGATTTAAAGGACCTCCATCCATTTCAAAAGGCGAGATCGATGATAAAAGTTCCAAGACAAGCTGATTTTTTACAGGTGCAGAAGACAAATCTTCGATTCATGGAAAATAAAATCTTCCAAAACACGACTGCGAAACCTGGTTTCTCCAGTGATCAGACTGCGATAGACATTTGCAGCAACCTTGCAATAGAACTTCAGGGCGAGAATCTCCACTTCAAATCAGGAGAAATGAAAAACACGCTAGTCCATGAGCGAATCCTCATATCAAATGGTCCTCACAATTTCAAGATCCAAACTCGGCTCTGCAGTGAGTCAACTGAACGGGGAACATTTGCGAGATCAGTTGACGATGTGCAAAATGGCCATTCGAAAGGTAGATAGGATTGATTGTTTGTAAAAAACTTCAAATAGACCCATTTACTGATACTAGAGTTGAAAAACACTACAGCACATGAGACATCACCCAGTACTTAAAGAGAGGATACATCGTGATAGCTTTCAAACTTTGACTAACCTGGATTAGTAGCTTACATCCTATTATACAGAAGAGAGAAATATAGGGTCTACCTACTTTTTCAAATCAGTCATTACATTCGTCTTTGTGACTGTCCTGATCATGACTCATTTACCTACCCAGATTTACGCGGCTACTAGGGCCATTCAGATGCTTTGCAAAAGAATCGTTAGAATAAACGTCCAATCTGTATTCAAAAATCTGTATTGGAGGTCTAGAAGGTAGGGTGAAAGGGAAAAGTGGCAAGTGTTTACAACATAACAGCAAAAGAGGAACTGCACATACAATTGACTGCCATATTTGCAACGTATGTAATCTCTACCATATGCAGCATAATCAACAAAGCGATACTCATTTCTAAGAGATTTACCGGTTTGATACTCTGGATTCAACTTGGTCCGCGAGAGAACTGCAATTGATTTCGAATATATAAAAAAAAAATGCTCACTACATTGAAGCCCAGTTCCTGTAAGTAAAAGACACAGGTTCTGATTGTTCCATGTGCCGTAGTCGAATGCTACTCAACTGTAGGGGGAGAAGACGGAAATAAAGCCTCGAAATAAAATATAACCTTCGAAACCATACTGATACCTACTAGATACACTAATCCTACGAGGACTCTCGGATGCTGTCCTCTTCTTGTGTTCATAACAGCCCCTTGTGACAAGTACCCCTTCTTCCAGTATCTAAACACAGAAGATCCTACAAAAGCGGCAAAAATTGGCCAACGAATTGCTGGTCCAGCAATGGCTACTAAAGTGGCCACTGCGGGCGTGAACCCGGCCACGGGGTTATACCTTTTAGCACTCAGCAGATAGGAGGTAATGCCTACCAAGCCAAGTAACATAAACTCTGCGGAGATAAAACCCACAGCTGCAGCCAAACCTAACACTCCTGCGAAGTCTAGCATATTGCGGCTTGGAAATTCTGAAGCGTCCTTGTAGGTTTCCGATACACTCTCTCCTACGAGAAGCACCACAGTGGAGAGAAGAATGGCAAGGGAAACCTCTCGAACAGATATCAACTCTCCAGCTAACCTAAAGACATTGACAATATTCTGACCGACGAATAAGAAAACCTCGAGAACAGTTAACACAGGCTGGCCTCCGAGGTCCACTAGTTTGTAAGCCAATGCTTGTACAGATTCCAGTGCGAAAACAGCCAAGAAGGCAGCGATATTCACCCAATTTTGAATCTCCCTCCAGATAACTCCGCGAGCCAAAATTGCAGTCACGACACCTACCATGGAAGTTGATGCCCCAGCTCAGCGAAGCGAAAATCAAAATTCAAAATATCATGACAACAACATTTGGTTAACATCAAGACAGAACCAGAGGAATTAAATGGAACAGTTGGTTACACACCAAACGCAAAGAGTCCATAATTGGGAGGATCCCCGTCATCCTTCATAAGCTCAATGAACTCCTCCGGCAGAGAAGCTGTCACAAACCCATCCGCGTCAATTCCGGTCTCGGGATCCACAGGACTGGATTGCTTCCCCTGTGGCCTGAATTCAGACTCCGGACCTGCTTCAGCCCTGACCAGCACTGACCTTTCTCTACACAGAAAATTCCCACTGATTCTTCTCTCTCGACCAACAGGGAGTTCGGAAAACGATCCGAAAGGAGCTCCATTCTTTCCAATTGCAAACGCACTTCTGGGAAACGCGACACGCGCATTGGTTCCAGAATGTCGAGACACTCGCACCGTCAGCTGTGATGAACATGAAAAACAATCGGGACCGAGCGCTTTCGCGGCCCCGAGGCCGAGGGCCCCTTGGAATGCCATAGCCACACAGGCAAAGCTTTGCGCCAACGATCCGGGCTCTCTCTCATCCCACCCGCCAGGCTACGGCTACCGTGACGTGAACGTGGTAGCTCTCCATTATTCACCAAGTTTCATAAGCTGCCGGCGCTGCAATCCGTCAAGACCTTCACGTGTACGGCGGTTAAGTCTCGCCAAAACAGCGCGCTATAGGTCCCCTGCAGTGTCGTATGGTCGACACAGAGTTCCAAGGAGAGGGGACACAGTCAATACCAAAACGGATCGGGACAGAGTCTGTCGGACGCGTCTGAAGACCGATGCCCAGAGATTCCTCTGGAGGTCCTTCGCCGATGCACATTAGAACACACGGGAAAGTAACTGAAATTCCTTCGGAGCAAACCCAAGTCCGATACAACAGGGCAAAAAAGCCCACGGTACAGATGCGCAGATTGTGCACAACAGAGTCAAGCCATAAAGGGGGCGGAAATGCGAAAGTAAATGGTCCACAGACTCTGGGACTGTTTCCTGCATCAGCCTATTGCTCTCTCCCGCGCATATAGAAACCACCGGCTCCAGTAAATCCATATTCCGTTAAGGGCATGAGTCAGGCTGCGGAATGTCGACGTGTTTCCTCCTCACGGATGAGCAACAAATTGCACTTCCAATCACAATTCTGTGAAATCAATCTATACTTGTAATAAAAATGTAAAATCCAAATGCTTTCGGCAACTCACTTGCTGGATTTCACTTTGCTATAAGAGCAGATTTCAGCTACGTATTGGTTTTTCTTCCCGAAACTAGGCAGATTATACTATGATGACACATGGAGATTTCCAACCAGCATCAACTGTCACAGGCTCAATAATTTTCTTATATAATGATGCAGCTAAAGTTAATCATGTCATGCTCCAAAGCAACTTTGATCTCCATGCCATTAGGTATGAAGACACGATCATCTTTCAAGAGTTTCTGCTTTAGGTTATTCAATCTAGCAAATGTACATTTTGTAAGAAATTTACAAATCACATCTTCAACAAAGAATCTGAAGTACTCTAAATGAATGGTTGTCTCCTACCAAGGGCTTGATGAGAGAGCATATTATCTTTAATCAAATTTATATTTCTTCCTTATTTTGATATATACTTCCAGCACATATCTTGTGTAAGATATTATCATTCTCTATTCATCAAATCAATTGCATTCAGAGATAAACACATGCAACTCACATTTTCGTAAACAGACTAGAATTTGTATCTTTTATGTTATGATATAAATTTTATTAACAAATATATAGAAATTTTAGCAGTCATTCATATGTATATAGCGTTTGTTGTAATATTTCCAAAATGCAATATATTTTTTAACTATCAAAATATTGTAATTTCATCATCCTTGATGATTTATTATGTATCAACAAGATAATCCTATACATACTAACTATCTCTAATCAGAACTAATTAGATTAATATGGATACAAATCTAATTAAATATTTATATTCATATTAAAAAACATAGTATGATACAATCATTTTACGTTTATTAATAAGAGATTTCAGAAGCTATTTTCTGTGTAAATTTTTAAAGTCATCAAAATTAGTACAAATTTAACCAAGTCTGTCCGGAAATTTTGTTGATAATGAAAATTTTTAAATTAATATAAAATATTATTAATTAGACGACATTCAAACCAATGAAATATTTACTTAAGAGAGTTGAAATTTTCTAAATTGTTAACGATCATAAGTTTTTAATAAAAGAACACCATAAATGTTTTATAAAACTTTCGTAGAAAAGAACAGAATGACTAAATGCTTATAACCTGTAAGTAAAATTCATTCTCATGATTCTATGAATATTATATTTCAAACTTCAATGTACAATATGTATTGAGGCAACAAAAAAATATAAAAAATTTTAAAACATTTTCAAAGGAAAATTACATGAGTGTGCATAAAATTACACAAATAAGATTTAATGATAGTTGATAATGAATAGATGACGCTTGATGTTGAAAAAACCAATAGTTAGAATTTAATACTGAAAATTACATTTTTTCCAAGCTCTTTGTAAACCATGATTTATTTGAAAGAAAACTATCATAAATTGCTCATAATTTGAATTCAGGTCAACCAAGTGGATATGAGACTTAATATGTTTGACTATACATAAAAACCAAAGATGGCATATTAGTAATACATTTAGTCGTATTGTGATAATTAGGACATTCTAGTATATATAAAACATCAACAATTGTTGAAAAAACATGATAATAGTAATATGTTACAACACATATTCATAGATAAATGTTTGATTTTTTTTGAAAAAAAAAAGAAGTAATTATATTTTAATGACAAGATATAGATAAGACAAAATATATGTATATATCATGAGATATTTTGTTCTTAATTATTGGTTTAATCATATCATCTCTCATCACATAAGGTAATTACATAAAATTTATATAATTGTTGATAGTAATTTGACATATATTTTTGAGGTCTTATACAAATTGTTCAAAACTATGTACTTTTGGTATAATAGATATATAAATGGAAAAATACTAATGAGATATACGAAATACTCGTAAACACATATCTTTATACATCTACGATGATAATTTTCTATAAATTGTATGCTAAGATCGTGAAAACATTGTGTTTCTGCGTGACTTTTATAAATACTAAAGCTAACATCGAAATTGTACAATTCTATGGCTATATGACTCAAATTACTAAATAATTATTTTAAAAAAATATGTATGAAACTCATCTTACAAGAAATATAACAGAATTTTAAAAGATGAAATTTCATCTCAATATGAACTTCATGTATGATAGTTGAAACAATACTGTGAAATTATGTAACAAATCAATGAGCAATTCAAATATATTTGGGCGATAGAAGTTATTTACACTATATCCATGTAACCAGAAAAAAAATGCTGTCAATATTTTTAAAAATTTATTAGATATTCATATTTAACAATATTTGTAAATATTAATTCATATCTATCTGATACTCAAATATGACAAACTAATGTTATAATTGAGCATAAAAAACGTTTAAAACAAATCAACTAACATATTTCCAAAATGTTCAACAATTACTCTTATTTATTAAATGAAATTAAAAATATTAATAATTAGTTATTTAAAAAAATTGAAACAACAAACTCTAGTGCAAAAATATATGCATATATATCAGTCTGTTAAAATTCCCATATATATACAAATAAAATGTAACAGTATATTTTGTTAATCATACTTAAAATGATCAAAATTTACATTCCAATGCAAAATATAGATCTTCTTATTATAATCATTATTATTTATAATGATATTTTATTTGATCACAACTGAAGATTGACCAAAATGATATAAAAGTGATGTAAAATGAACATTTTTCCTCTATCATAATAAATGAAGGTAATTAAATATCTTATTAAAGAGTTATCATAAGCTAAATTTATTACTATTTAAAAAAATAAGTATAAGGCTCATTTGTTTATATTTAATGTAAAAGGTTCAATGTATGATATCATTAACTTTGGTATATTTCATATTATAAATTCTGTTTTTTAATATTCACAAAAATTTCAGTTTCAAACCTTAAAAATTCCATTGTAACAAATTTAGAATAGAATAAGATCTTAATTATTACAGTTAAGTGCAGAATAATATTTTTTTTAAACTGTTGCAATTGTACTTGTCTATTTTTACTATGTATATTATATATAAAAATCAATGTTAATATATTAATATATAATAAACAATAGTTAATTATATATTGATTTTTTTTGTATATCCAACATTTTATCAATAAATCTGATCAAAATTTATATTTCTTGAGGAATAAGATAACCTTGCAGATTCTTAACCGTACAAAGAGCATGAATTATGTCTGTAGCACATAACTAGTCAATGTAGAACTTCCTCATGAATATAACCATGTTTTAAAATATTATCTCAAGAGTACTATGATGGAGAACCATCACATAATTATCATAAGTTATCACTGTATGCATAAATTTTCATATATCCAATTTGCAATATTCTTTTCACTCATAAGATGAAAAATTGTGAAAATATAAAAATGAAATTAACTATTACAATTTGATATGTTGTTCACAACATACTTACAAAATTTAATTTAATTTTTTCAATTTCTTTTGTTTTTTGGGCTTGAAAAAAGTTGGTTCAAACTGAAAGGCTTTAAAATTTTATAATAAATTTAATTCTACTTCTTATTCGTTTTTTTCCTGGATGTAATTGTAAGTTTTACATACACAGTGAAAAAATCAAAATAAAATAAAACCTGAAATTATTTTAATTTGTTTGAAGTGTTAATTCTTCTCCAAGTTTCACATGTTTTTTTATGCATGCTTTATTCTATTTATACAAACAATGTTTCCTTATTATTCATGAAATCATAAAAACTAATTTTTATTTTATCTTTCATAAATCAATTTCAACAATAAACTATTCCAATCACATAACATTACAAATTTTCTTCCTTTTATGGCTTGTAATCTATAACAATTTATTGTTTTCATTATAGTATTTCCAATGAAAACGTAAATAATATTTACAAAATTATTTTTACAAACTTATGTATTTTTAAAATTCTCATTTTATCAGAGTCCACATGTCATATTCAACCCTTTTTCTATCTTTATACTATGTAGGAATTTTTTACACCACTGTTTATTAAATGTTCAAAACATTTACTCCTATTTGTCTATAACATAAAATTAATGTGCAAAATTTTCATTTGGGTACAACCATAGCATGAAATGTATTGAAGTTATAAATTGTGTTAAATAAATAAATAAATATATATATATATATATATGAAGAAGTATTCAAATGTTTTTTAATTCGTTACATTTTAAGATTTCTTAAAGGCGTACGCCCTAAGAGTTGTGCTTAAATCACATTCTAATTAGATCAATAATTATAAAAAATGGTACATATAAATATATATGTATATTTATGTTAGTTATAATACCAAAATCAGAAAAATCATTTTAGATGCACAGATTTCGTCCATAGTTTTAAAAACAGATAGATACCAAATGAAAATTTTGTTCCAAAATTTAATGTGATGGAAAAACTTGATATGATTGCAAAAAAACTTCAGATTTTTTAGGATGGAAAACAGTCAATTCTTATTTGAAAATAAAAATATTATATAAGATTGCATGAAATGTTGCTTGCAATTTGTATTTAAATAACAGATTGAACAACTTTTTATGTCAAATTCCTGATATTATCAAAAATAAAAAATACAAATAATTGAACAATGTGTGTACTTCAATATCGAAAATAAAAATAAAATGAAGGTTAATGTTATGTACTCGATTTTCAAATTACAATGATTCTTAAATATGTTTAAGTGAAGAATATCATGATGCGATTTTTATGAAAATTATTATCTAATTAATTCATGAAAATGCATGAATATTTGAAGTATAACAAATTTTAAAATCTCGAGAAAAGGTGTGGTTCCTTATATAAAATAATACAGATATTTATCCGTCCACATATGCATTCTGCATGTTACATCTATGGGTAATTTTAAATTTTGCATAGTTATTTGATCATAAAACCATTTAATTTCTTGTAGCTCATCTTTGAGTAATATATATATGTATATATATATAATCCGATGTTTGAGTCGCATCATTTATGAAGTAACTTGATGAACAAGTAAGCAAGTTTCACTCATACAGTATATACTTATGTATTGTGCTTTGCCACTTGACAGTAGAGTGAATAAGCAAGCAAGTGAAATTATACAAGATTTATTATCCATGTCTTGACATAAAAATCAATTTCTAAATTCAGGAACAAATAATCAAGAAAGTTATTGCAGTGTTATCGTTGACATAGAAATCAATATGTAACTTTGATGAGATGTGGTCAAGGCTGATATAGATGTTTTGTAGTAAGACAGGTGGTGCTCACATGAAGTTTGCCACTTGCCTTCATGCAGGCCTTACTTAACTTACAAGTTATCTTGTTGTGACATTCTTTTTGGTAACCGTCCGCATATACTGCATGAAAAAGATTCAATATACTGCTCGATACTTAATTGATTTTGGATGTAAATATATGTTCACCTTAATCCACCCAAAGACAAAGTCTTTTTTAGAGGCATAAATTATGTTTGTTTAAGGAGATTGAAAGAATTTTGATTGAAACATACAAGTTTCGAGAAGAAAACGTTGATTTAACATGGTGATTTGTTGAAATTTAAGCCTGTGAAATGCAAGCGAAATATTCGATAATGAATGAAGGATCATTAATTAATGTTTGTTGACATATCATGTTCTTGTAATGGCGGTTCAAGGTACAGAAACACAGTATGTAGACATGGAGGGCTTTTTGAGGGTCGGCGTTTCCAGCAGCAATCCGCTTTACTGAATCGCTTTAAACTAATGTTGGACGGAAACCGGAATGGCGTTTAGCGTTTGAATGGAAAACGCGGGTGGGGACGAGGAGATGAAAAGCCTGGAGAACGATCCCGGGTGATTAAAACGGCGGCCAGAAATTTATAGCGGGGCAGACAGCGGGAGAGGGTCTAGGGTTCTGGTAGGGTTAAGGGCGGTTGAAACTCGACCCGATCCTGTGCCCACGCGACCGGAACCTGGGACATAGGAGAGAGGAACCGCGGTTAGCTAGCAGCGCTGTGGTCGAGTCGGGTCAGGTCAGGGTTTTGTTTGGTCTCTGGGCTATCTTCATCCTTCCCTCGCTCCGTTGGTGAGAGCGTGCCTGCGCTGGAAAGGCCTTTTCCTCTTTGTATTTTCTGAAGGAATTGCTACTTCTTTGTTCACATCATCTGCTGTTTGCACACAATGAGCTTTGCGGAGGGAGAGGGGGATGGGAGGGAGAGAGAGACAGAAAGAGAGAGGGCAGAGAGGGAGAGAACATAGGCAGAAGGACACGAGGGGCTTGAGAGCAATCTCGCAAGGAAGTCTCTGTGGTTTCGATCGGGCGAGCTTTGTGTGAACAGGTAGGCCATGGAGCCTGTGCAAGTCTTGATTTGGAGGAACTCGAGCGACTGCCACATGCTGCCTCTGCTCCACCCGTTGTTTCCATGGCTTGCGGTTTAAGGAAGGACGTAGGAAAGGATGGATAGAAGGGCGATGGCTGCCCATAGGCTTAGTTTGTCCACTTAAGGTTTTCGCTGGCTCGACGCCTCGCGAGTGAATTGTGCATCCGTCGATTTCATTCCTCGTGCTCTGGGAGCTCTGATTCGGTCCTGTCTTTGTCGCCGCAATTTTCCTCAAACTGGTAGGTCTTGATGCTCGCCGAATCTGTTTTTGCCTCTCGATATTGCCGGAGATGTGTGTTAGGGCGCGGAGAATTGAGAATTGAAGAATGGGACTCGCTGAACGCACTCTCGGATGATAATTTTCGGTTCCCAACCTTAGACATGGCTCAATCGGTCTCGTTTTTGTAGATTTAGGCGTCCTCCATGTTTCCATATCGTCGCTTTACAGTCGGAGAATATGCCGGAGATGCCTTTCACACAGGAAGTTGGACATTAGGCCGAGTACAGTGTTACATGCTTGTATCGGCATCCACTGTGTCCTCATCTTGTTCTCGACTTTGATGCATAGACATTCTACTGCTCTTTCTCCTCTCTTTGCCCGTCTGCAAGTATCCTTCGATAGGCAACAGTGCTTAAACACTCCTGGAACCTCGAGGTTTTCGTTCACTCTGTTGAACGGAGTACCCATCGTTGGCTTTGTTTGTGTTTTTCTCCTGCCGATTACAGGTTTGGAGTAGTTAAGTTGATATCATTGAGATGCTTACGGAGCTTGAAGCTATTCTGGCCCAACACCCTAAGTGTTATCAATGCGAGCTGAGTTTGATCTCTCAACTCGTGAATGTGGCATGATCTTCTCATCCGGTCTATTCCTCTACATGAAACACAAGCTTTGCGATCCACGCCACCTCTACTCCGTACTGAAAGTAGTAACCGATGCATTTACCTAAAACTTCATCATGGACTTCCGCTCGCAGATTGAAGAAGCCCTAGGGCATTCGTGTTGTTTCGAAGAGAGCAAACTCCTTTCTAGCTAATTTCTAACGTCTGTATTGCAACTTGCTTTCTTATCTGTATGCAGGCTGATCCGACGACGGGTGTCAACATAAATGGCTATGTTCGGGTCTAGCAGCCGTAAGTACCCGATGACCCTCTCATTTGTATCTCCTTAGTCTCCTCCGAGACTCTGCGGTTCCCTTCGTGTGGAGATTCCTCTTACCATATATATATTTGTGCTGGGTTTCGAGGTATAAGAGAATATTTCGTAGATGGACTTGGGTCTTTTTCCCGTTTATCGCGAGTGGCTATGTCGTTTACATCAGAGCTCGACAGCAACACTAGACGTGGGATGTCAAGTCATCACACTGGTCGGTTATTTTTGCCACAATTATTAAATTTCATAGCCATGTACGTAACAGTGTGAGGAAACGTAACTTCTGCATCTAGAACCTGATCCTCATGGACCTGAAATTTTTTTCCAGCCCTACACTTGTCATCGAGTGAAATCAATCAACGAGAAAATCGCATCAATGTGTGGTGCCTGTTAAGGAATCCCGTTATCTACTTCTCCCCTCACTTGAGTCATAATGGACGCCAAAAAACTCGGGATCTCTGTTAGCGTATGGTCTTGAATTTGAGACTCTGAATATGAAATGGGCATAGTGGGAGAGTTGAGCCAAATATATTGAATGGTTACCTCAATTCAAATTTAAAGCGCCGATGCAGTTTGAGCAGAATCGAGATCAGTAAGTTTTACTGGTATTAGTCCCTTGTTGTGGGGATTGCACATTTCGCAGCAAGCTCCTACACAAGAGTAGGTTCTCACTAGTTATGTAAGATGCAGACCGTGCTAGCATATCACGGTGATGTTCTTCTAGTTCTGGTGGTTCATGGCTGAGAATGGCATCGAGTTTCATATCAACAAGTTCCCAGCTTACTGTATTGCACAAGCTTGAGGACTTTTTCAACTTTTCACATGAACTGCAACTTTGTGTATAATCCAATGTAATGCATATAACTCATAGGAAATTTTACTTTCTTGTGCTTTTTTTGGTTGATTCTGCGTTGTGACCTGATCTGAAATGACTCTTTGCAATGAACTATGATACCAATGCCAGTTGTGATGAGATTGGCAAAATATTATCTGCTTTGGCCCATTTTCTTCTTTTGCTAACTTGACCCAGATATCAGTTCGGACTCGTGGTTCAGTTGTCGTTCCCCAAAACTGCCAATCTCGTTCGTTTGTGTGAAGTGATGCACAATGTTGACCACACTGATTAATGAGGTATGATCACCGCAGGGTTTATTGAGCTGGCACGGGCTCAAAATGTTTTGAGAAGTACCTCCTAATTCCATGTTGTTTACTCCTTGTGAGGGGTGTCCTTCTCCCATCTAGACAATGTAGACCAACTGGAGTCGGTCTGAATCCACTATGTGTAGCTGATCTACGACAGCGCTTGTATTAAATCAGCGGACTACGATGGACTCTTTAAAGTGTTTTCAATGCTGACACAGAAAAAAAAAGATGGTTTTAGCTGTTGGGAGCTTGTCTGCGTCGCTTTTCTGATAAGATTACTACTTGGTACCTGCCTGTCGTACGAGAAGTCCGTGTCCCGCGTTTCGCTTCAATCTTCTGCAGGGTAGAAAAAATATACACAACGTAGATGGATAGAAGTAGGGCAGTGAGATAGGACCACGTGAGAGTGGAGAGAGTTCCTCCTTCAGCGCGACTTGTTTCAAATAATGCGTTTAGTTTCTAATTTCCCGGTGACAACCAAGAATCACTCTGTCGGATGATCGTGAATGCCCCAATAACCCCCAAGGTTACCCAGTTCCGTAGACAGCAGTTTGTCCGACCAGCAGAGCGACTTGAAGAATAACTTTCGCTTTCATTGGAGAGATGGTTGCAAAACTTCAAGAATTAACAGGAGATTTATCCTCTTTGCCACAAAGTCTGAAATACGCTAAATAAGAGGTGAAATCGAGGTTACCAGATGTTACAACGCAAGCATGTGAACACGCCAAGTTGGTACCTTCTTAGGCTAGGGTTTCGGCATTATTCTTGTCATTAAAACTCCGTCTACATATGCTATGCCGCATGTTATGTTTTATCATTAGATTTTTATGGAACATCTTAACTGCTAAATACTGTAGGCTGAGGCTCTAGAAGTTGAACGGCAGATGTAATTGCGTCCGACTGCACGTATTTGCTCTAACTCGCTTCACATCCATCGTGGAATTGTGACTTGAAGGTCTTCTTTACAGTGTCCCCTGGTTGCTTTTGCCTCTAATCGAGCCACATCACAATTAGCGTGCAGCTTGAGGAAATGTACTTTGACGAATAGTTTGACACGAAATGCTTAAATACACTACAGTGAACATGGCAGTAACTGAATTGAAGCAGAAACTGCACCTAACTCCAGTGTGAAAGCCGTAATACTGCTGAATACTCGTGAATTGTTACCTCTTACTGGACGTACGGCCGAAGTTCTTGCTTTGCCACGGGCTTGGAGTAGTCTTTTCTTCCCGATAGATACCCTTTGAATATTCATACTGAGTGTGATTTTTTACGTTCATGTCTTATTTTGATAGAAATGAGAATGCGAACTCTAACTTTCTTTTTCTCTGAATATGTCTGAGCAGCTTTTGGGGCTTCATCACCTTCCCCGTTCGGAGGAACAACGGCTTCCTCCAATCCATTTGGTACAACTGGACAAAGTAATCCATTTGGTGTAACCCAGGCTGCAAATCCCTTCGGTGCAAAACCATTCGGAACCTCCCCTTTCGGTCAGACAGGGGGTTCTCTGTTTGGTAGTGGAACTGCCACAGGAGTCTTTGGTTCAACACAGCCTGCAGGGTTTGGAGCTTCGTCTTCAGCGTTTGGTGCTTCGGCTTCAGCGCCTGCTTTTGGAAGCACCGCGTCTCCTTTCGGAAGTGGTACGTGTTCAACGAGGAGTTTTGTGTGGAAGTTAGTTTGCAATTATTTCTACTTCAACCGTCTTTGTTTAAAACATGAACGAACTCATTCTCATTGTTGTCTTGAGGATTAGATCTGTCACTTATCGGACATCCGAGACTGATAAGGCTATTTGTATGCTTTTTTTTTTCCTGGTCTAGAGTCAATGAGTACCGTATGCTCAAAACTGCCGATCTGTTATATTGGAAAAGCCATGCGATATTGGGGTTTGACTACACTCGAAATCGGATTTTCCAATCAGACTGAATCAGCCTGCCTTGTCTTCCGCTTTCATGCCTCGTTATCATATAACGAGGTGATGTTTAGATTCAATTGGATTGTGTGAGCTGACCCAGGAGTAACTGTTTGGGTAATGTGCATCACGCACAGGTGCAATGTAACAAAATTGTAACCAACTTAACATCTTTATAACCATGTTGTCCATTTCTGCTTCTTACATTTGTAATTTTACAGGGGCTCCTGTCTTTGGTCAAAAACCAGCGGGTGCATTTGGAGGGTTTGGAACAACTCCAGCTCAAGCAAATCCGTTTGGAACTCCTTTCGGCCAGACTCAAGCTGCATTCGGCAGTCAGCCATTTGGTTCAACACCTTCAGCATTTGGTGCAGCATCAGCCCCTGCGTTTGGAACAACACCAACTACAGCATTTGGCAGCAGTGCACCTGCCTTCGGTGCTTCTTCTGCCCCTGCATTTGGCGCAACGACGTCTACCCCCTTCGGTTCATCAGCGCCTGCCTTTGGCAGCAATTCTGTCTTTGGCCAAACAGCGTCAGCATTTGGGGCCAGTTCGAGTTCAGCTTTTGGCAGTAGTTTTGGTGCTCCAGCAGCTTCTCCATTTGGTGCCCCAAGCGGCTCTGCTTTTGGTAGGTGAAAATCCTCATAATGTCGAAGACCTAAATACGCACGCAATTTCCACGTATCTTTAATCTCATCGATTGTTCTGGTGCTAATGAATCTGTAATTTCAGGTGCATCAGCTTCTCCAAGTTTTGGAGCCACAAGCTTTGGAGCATCTCCATTTGGCGGACAACGAGTTGGGAGCAGAGTTGCTGCTTACGCGGTAACCAATGACCCAGATGTGGGAGTTGGCGGACAGACTGGGAAGTTCATGTCAATATCTGCCATGGCTGCCTACAGCAGCAAAAGTCCGGAAGAGCTTAGATGGGAGGATTATCAAGCGGGAGATAAAGGTATAGCGCCCCTGTTGTTTGCTTCTTACTTTCAGGGATCTTCATTTGTGAAGGTGATTGTACTATTATGAACTATGATTGGTAGTTCAAAACAGAACAATTACCAAAAAAAATTGTGAATGTAGGTTTGAAGGGAGAATGTATCACAGGGTGCATAGAGTTTCAAGATACTTCCTTTTGAGTAGAAGATAGATCTGTCATGCTTCATACATAAGCTGGCTTCGAAAACAAATTTTTGCCGTTGTCAAGGGACGGACATTTTTGCGACTGACGTAACATTGAATTTTGAAATGGGAAAGGTATAGAGTATCTGACGTCACTTCTCGTAACTTATATGCAGGTGGACCGAATCCTACCGCACAGCAACCCGCCACTGGAGGCATTTTTGGTCAAAGTACCCCACAAAGTCCATTTGGGGCCTCTACAGGTGGATTCGGCCAACAACAACAAACTTCTGCTCCAAATCCTTTTGCGACGCCGGCTACGCCAAGCATATTTGGACAAAAGCCAGTGACTGGCTTTGGTGCATCTTCTGGCTCTGCTTTTGGGGCCTCCTCTGCCCCAGCTTTCGGTCAAGCCTTTGGCCAGACTCAATCTCCATTTGCTTCACCTTCAACCGGCTCTGCCTTTGGGCAAGCCAGCGCTTCTGCATTTGGCGCATCATCACCATCGCCCTTTGGTGCCGCAAGCGGTGCTGCATTTGGGTCAACTGGTTTTGGTTCGGCTCCATTGGGTACTTCTGCATTTGGCGGCGCTGCTCCTTTTACAGGGTCAGCATTCACCAATCTCAGCTCACCTGCCACCCTTGGATCTTCCTCGCCGTTTGGATCCGCAGGCTTCTTCGGGCAGTCACAACCCGCCGGAGCCTTGTTCGCAACACCCTCGTCGCAGGGTTTTGGAACTTCAGCTCCGGCCTTCGGCGCGAGTAATTCATCATTCGGAACTAACATCTTCAACACCGGTGGCACAGCATCTATCTTTTCGCAGACTAAACCTGCTGGTTTAACTCAATCAACTGTAAGCCACTTCTCTTCTCATCATGTTTGGATGTGTCTGACTGGAACCATGTTTTTCTTGTCCATTCTAATTGATCTCGTTTGCTGAGAAGTAAACGGTTTTCTCATTTGCTTTGAGAAATCAGTTTAGAGCTGTTTGTTTTGAGTGAGTAAAGTTAATGATTAAAGGACTGATTATTTTGACGACAGTAAGTATTTTAACAGTATATGGAAGAGTGAAGCTTATACTCCTGTTTACTTTGACTTGCAGTCTCCCTCACCTTTTAGCAACTTTGGACAGACTACGTCTGCGCAGCCGTCGTTCAGCTTTCCCAGTTTCCAGGCATCACAACCAGGTACAACAGAATTCATCTTGAGTTGCAGCCGATTATGAATCAATGTGCACCTTCTATATTGCTTGTTAAGCAGTACTGCTTCAAGGTGTTACTGAGAGATCTTTGTCATGTTGCAGGAGGGAGCAGCATTTTCAACGGTTCTTCAGGGTTGGCTTTTGGTCAAAATGCATTTGCGCAACCACAGTGAGTGTCTCTGCGACTGTAGTGAATTACAAACTTCTTCAGGTTTTATTCGTTAAGGGAGATGTATTATGTTTATAATATATCTCCCTGAACGATATGTTTTATATGTTTTTGATGTCTCCTCAGTCCAAGATGTGCTTGACTGGACCATGTTACCATGCAAGGTCTTTTAGCTTAATATAATATGATAAGGGTATTCACAAATCATTCTGTAAGCTGTCTGTCAAAACCATGTTCTGCGATGGAGACTTCTTACAGTGAATGATGCGGTGACATAATGTTGCCGTTGGGAACAAGAGATGCTCGCCTTACTCCCGGGAAACATACAGTGGGTATGTTTCGGTGAGAGAAAGCTAAGTACTGGTTTCTGCGTGATCATTGAAACCAAAGCACTAACTAACGCGTGGGGCGGATACCGAGGAAATGAGCTTCGTAACTGCCTTCATCCATCCGCGTAGTTTGTTTTGGGAAGCATGACCTAGAAGAGATTGGCGCTTCCTATCTTACTCCAAGGTGGATGTAATCCCGCAAACTAGTAGAAGGCTTTGCGCGTCTCTGTTTCAGCCCAGTGGCTCGTCAATCTATCTTGATGAAAGACCCGGGAGCCAGCTCGAAGCATAAACGGACATTATGTCACTGTGTCATGTGCAGAGTGATGTGGTGCTCAACCATGTAGGATCACCACCCATCCAAAGACTGGGAAAGTTTGAGCCTTGGAGTCTATTGATAACGTATGACATGGATAACCAGAAAAGCCTTGGCGGCCGCAAAGTATCTTTTACAGCTGTGAAGGTGCACTCACCATTTTAGGGAAAGTTTTCAGTCGACTCGGAACTACTATATTGGCAAGTATTGACTTCTTCTGTTTGCTTCCAGGCCTGCAAATAATGTTATGATGGCTATGCCCCAGCCAGTAACCAATCCATTTGGGACACTTCCCGCCATGCCTCAGATGTCGATAGGGCGCAGCGCAGGCTCTGGGCCTTCTGTGCAATATGGAATCTCTAGTATGCCGGTAAGTGCTCGAACCAGGACGGCACATCCTTTGTTTGTATTCGGGGATGTCGGACCGAATTTATGGTTACATTGTGAAGCCCTGTTCAGAATTGTACTTTTTAGAGGGTATATATCTATACTTTTATCATCTCTCTATGGAGAGGAGGGTTCAAATGAAATGTATGCGCATCTGCGTCTCTGCGTTTCGGGGGTGTACCATCACCTCAAAGAACAAGTGGGAGCTACGTAAGCTTAGGCGTTTTCGGGGATTACCATGACATCAGCTAATGCTCGTGAGTCTTGTAAGCTTAAAGGTGAAGTCATCATAGATTAAGATTGCAGTGCAACCACCCGACCGCCAAAGTTGGAATCCCGGGAACGTAAACCCTCAAACTTAATGTACTCCCTTGAACTCCCTCAAATGGCGACATTACCAACAGCCTTTTGTTGGTGGACCCGTTAATGGACATAGTGGTTGTCGGTCCTTTGTGAGGTTATTCTTCTCTTGAACATTCGACTTTTTCAGTAGCGAATCTAACGGTGTCATTTTAGGTCATTACGCTGATTTACATATTCTCGTTTTATATTCCTGGACGGATCCAATTGTAATGAGGATGTAGCATATTTCTTGCTTTTTAACAGTTTTGAAGCCTGAAGTAACCTCTTTGGCTCAGCGATACTTGTTACTAGCGAGGCTTCATAGTATGCTAACGGTTATCTTGGTTTTGTTGTCATGTAGGTGTCTGACAAGCCTACACAAGTGCGAACTACTTCGCTTTTGACACCAAGGCATATTACCCAGCGATCGAAGATTAGGATGCATGCTAGGAGGTATCATCCCAAAAAAGACAGTCCCAAAGTAAGTGTTTTAAATGCCTCATTGTGTGCTCGATTTTCTTCAAGTTTTATGTGCTATACCTGTGTTGTACCAAGGTTTTGGCGGCGAGTTTTTGAGTGATGCTTCAGTTGCTCCTTAGCTTTGTGTTTCCCCACTCCTATTTGTAAAATCCGAAGGAATCTAAGTAGAGTCTCTTTCGAAGTAAATGTTTGTCTCGCCAGACACGTTTGACTTGTGTTCACCCGTGGATTGACAATTTCAGCCATGGTCAAAATTGGAAGTATTGAGCTTTACGTTCTCTGTAAGGTCTGCGAATTGCTATATATACATTGTCTTTGTTCACCCCATCTAATGGCCACTGGATGTAGTCTGTGGAATGTCACTGGAAAGTAAGCTGATATACTAGTTTGTCCCATATGATTTGTTGTGAAGGTATCGTTCTTCAGCGATGGTGAGGAAACTCCGTCCACGCCCAAAGCGGATGTACTATTTGTTCCCCGAGAGAACCCCCGTGCTTTGTTCATCCGACAGCCCGAGCAGACCCTGCCTGCCTCGACTCCTGTCAAAGGGACGCCAGATGCCAGAGATATCGCGACACCCTTGCACAGAAATGGTATAGTTCCTACTCCAAGTTTTGAATGTATGCTTTGTAATGATTGTTCATTGCGGCATTGAACTAGCCAGTGAGGCGTTTCCTCCCGTTGTTTAAGAGTACTCACGAGGTTTCAAAAGTTTGCTGCATGCCTACGATTTAGGAATATAAAGCATGTCGGTACAGTAGGCTGGGTGCGAAGAGTTGAGTACTCTGCAAAAGGTTATTTCTAAGTCTTAGACGTTATTTTTCTTCAGGTGAAGAGGTCGAAGATCAGGAAGCATCAATGGGTCCCAACTCCTCTCCTCCAGACCCTGAAAGTACAAGACTCAACTTTCTTGAATTGTTTATTGCAAACTTCGGAGAATGTGGAAGTAATGAATGTCAAATCTGTTGTAACATGTGAATGTAAATCAGTTTTCGTGTTGTGAATGGTTTTCGGTTAGTTCAATCTTGAGTCCGATAGGCAATTCTCTTGGATATTTCCCTTGAGTTATGAAATGATAGGCTGATACCTTTCAAGGTTGAGTCCTACCGACTGCAAACAAGGATAGAGACACAGAGCCTGCCACGTTCAGGGAATTGAGTGTTATTGTTGAGTGAGGACGGATCCTGTCCACACTAGTGTGCCTTTTAGGCGTGCCAGTTAACTAGAAGTCTTAGAATGAATTATTTACCCACGTTAATGTTTTTTGTTGTTAATAGGTCCACTTGAAAGCTGGCCCAATTCCGATGTGGGAGATACGAATCTCCACACTCCCCCTTCAGCAACCAAACCTGCTGAGAAAGGACCCACTATAAAATCTATTTCAAAAGTGAATGGTGTAAGAGAAGAGCACAATCACCGAGGCAATGGGTATATTTCTATCACCGGCCATAGAGCCGGTGAAGCTGCTATTGCGTACGAACACGGAGCGGACATTGAAGCTTTGATGCCCAAGTTACGTCATTCAGACTACTTTACGGAGCCAAGGATCCAAGAGCTGGCTGCCAAAGAGCGTGCTGAACCTGGTTATTGTCGGCGAGTGCACGACTTTGTGGTGGGAAGAAGGGCTTATGGTGCTGTTAAGTTTTTGGGAGATACAGACGTTAGACGTCTAGATCTTGAGAGCATCATTCAGTTCAATAAGTGTGAGGTGTTGGTGTACATGGACGAGAGCAGGAAGCCTCCTGTGGGACAACAGCTGAACAAGCCAGCCGAAGTAACTCTTTTGAATGTAAAATGTGTCGACAAGAAAACGGGTCAGCATTTCACAGAAGGTACTGAGGTTGAAAAATTTGAAAAGAGACTGAAGAAGAAAACTGAGGAGCAGGGTGCCGAGTTTATATCCTATGACGCTCTGAAAGGAGAATGGAAGTTTCAAGTGAAGCACTTCAGCAGGTATGGGCTGGATGATTCGGATGAGGAAGAAACTCCACAGCCCGGCTCAAGCAGAGCCTTAGCACTTACAGGAACCGATATGATGGAGGGAGTAGAGGGAGGTTCTGGAGACTTTTTGCCAAAAAGTCCTGAGCTTGGTGAGGAAGTCGCGGAAATTGACGAAGATGACGAGGGACCTTATGAAACTCACAGCGTTGCACCACAGGCGGCGCTCCCTCATTCGCTTCCTTCTCAGCTCAGACTTGATCCTCTGAAAATGCAGCAAATGAGGGCACTGTTCTTCCCTTTGGGTGAAGAAGATGAGCCTGCATTGTCAGGGCTCACTGTCAAGCCGCGAACGGCTTACACTAGACAGACGGGAACTTTACCAAAGTCTAAGATCGCAACGAGCGGGGAGAAGGTTATCCAAGATAGTCGAGAGGAAGGAGTTCGAGCTGCTTGGCCTCATCGTTCACCTTGGAAAGGTGGTCCAACAAAGCAAATGAGACTGAGCCCGCACAATTCATGGAAGCCGTCTTCACCATACTCACCTGTACCAGCAAGCGTTCAGAGTAGACCGTTTGTTTGGGGAAGTGATTTAGAAATCTCACCAGTAGGAAACGGAATCATTTTAGCCTTGCCTAGTGCTGATGATGTAAGTTGTGCAAACAAGCATAAAGATGTGGGATTCAGCATCGAGTTCGACAAGTTGTCTGAGTCTGTTGTTGCCGGACGGTATGATCACATCGTGGATGCCGGTTTGTTTTTTGGAAGGTCCTTTCGGGTAGGATGGGGTCCGAATGGGATGCTTGTCCACAGCGGATCCCCTGTAACAAATGAGGGTAAACACTTTGTCTTATCCTCAAACTTTCACATGGAGAAAGTCGCTTTGGATAGCACAATTAGAGATGACGAAGGACAGGTTGTGGACGAGCTTGTTCAACTGCAGTTTGTTTCTCCTCTTACTCTACATATGACAATGAGCAAGGTTGTGGACTACCGGCAAGATGCAATGAGTGAGCGCTTGAAGTTAAGGAAAGTGGTTTGCACTCGGGCCGAACTTTCTAGGATTTGTGATGAATACGAAGATCTAATTTACAAGCAGCATGGGGTTAAAGGGCTTCCAGGTGGCTATCAGCTTGTGCTTCGACATCAGGTAATGGTCTGGCAGCTCCTTGACGTCCTCTTTTCAGAAAGAGAAGATGGAGCCTCTGCCAGAGTTGACGAGGTTCAAGACGAATCTGCAGGGACTGCGAAGGCTGAGGAGGCCAGCGAATTAGCCGCGGACCCTGATACAGAACTTCTGGGTAGAAGAGCCGAGTTCAGCAGGTGGTTGCAGACTAGTGTAAGTCACCTTGTCCAGGAAGACTTGAGGCTCATGGAGGAAGAGGATGAGATGAAGGAAATCTTCTTTCTGTTGACGGGACGACAAGTGGACGCAGCTGTTTTGAAGGCTTCCTTTCGAGGTGATGTTCGTCTGGCTTGTTTATTAAGTCAAGCAGGCGGATCGGTCATGAATCGTATCGACATCGCTACCCAACTCGATGTGTGGACATCGGAAGGACTAGACCTCTCTCTTATAGAGGATGAACGACTTAATGTGTACAAACTGCTTGCAGGAGATGTTTGGGGTGCTCTCGATAACCACAATATCGACTGGAAACGGTTTTTGGGACTGCTGATGTGGTATCAGCTACCTCCTGATACCGATCTTCCTACCATTATAAGCACCTATCAGGAGCTCATAGTGGAAAATAAACTCCCGTTGCCTATTCCAATGTACCAAGAAGAGGGAGAGTACACCGATGCCAATGAAATTGAACTTTATGACACTTCTTACTATCTCATGCTACTTCATGCATCGAAAAAGAAACAGTTTGATGATACCAAGAAGATGCTGTCATCAGCGTCCACAACTTTTGACAGGTTGGACCACAGACTAGCTTGGCATCAGCAAGGGTTTTTGGAAGCGGTACATGCTCTAGAGCCTTTGGAACTTCATGAGCTGCACATGAACTTTGCAGCCCAGCTCCTTGCCGCAGGGGTTTGCCACTGGGCAATATATGTTGTCCTGCATATACCAGCCAATCCCGAGTTCCCTGGATTACACGAGAAAGTAATCAAGGAGATACTTTGCCAGTACTGTGAGTCGTGGAGTAACTCCTCTGTGCAACAGACCTTTCTGGAGCAAGAACTGGGTATTCCTGCTGAATGGTTACATGGAGCCCAGGTATTTATTGTTATAATGTAATTGTTTTTTTTTGGCTCTCCTGCCGTCTATTTACATTAAATCATGTGTGTTACCTTGACATTTCACCCAGATCTCACTCATGTGCGTGTTTCCTTCTGTTAGGCTGTCTACTTCCATTATGTGGGTGACTCGAAGCTGGAACTTGAGCACCTGATGAAGAGTCATCAGTGGCACTGTGCTCAAACTCTTTTCATGACCGATGTGGCTGCTACGATGTTCATAAACGGTAAGTAGCCAACGCCAAGATTTTCTGCAAGTCGATTGGTATCACTCGGATCCAATTTTCAGCTTACGCGAGCGAGCAGTATAACAACGCTTACTTTTTTCTAAAATTTGTGAAATTTGGATGAGAAGCATGTCGTCTTTGGACGGGAGAAATGCCTGACAAGAATTTGGGATGCGCTTATGACTACCTATCTGCTGTATTGTCATGGACAGCTGAGCATTCAGATGTATGGAGACTCGTAAGCCAGCTTGAGCACAATAAAGCAGATCTGGAAAACTTTGAGTTAGGTGCCGGAATTTTTTTTGATTTTTATAATCTCAAGACCAATCTGTCGAGTGAGGATGACGTAATGGAAGAGATGGTAAGTTCATCTTGATCTCATATTCTGAGCTAGAATTTTAGGGTGTTAATTCAAGGGTTATGTTATAAGTTTCCCATAGTTTTTTCACTTGTGGTTTTGCCGTTTGTATCTTCACTTGAGAACCCATGTTTTATAATAGTCATTGCTAAGACGCGAAATATTTGTCACCCCTCAGGATACACTTGAGAAGCAGACAAGTGCTTGCAAAGCGTTCTTTTTAAGGCTGAAGGAGTCAGAACGCCTGTGGAATAGAAAGGTTCCCAAGAATCTGAGGTTGGTGTCTGAAACTGTGCAATGTTTCATCGGTTTCAGCTGTTTTATTCATCACGGTTTTTTTTTTCTTAGATCGCTAGCAGGAATTTACTTCTCTTGGCACATTGAAGTTGTGAACGTTGCTGGAGTGAACACTGAGCCGTTTGTGAGAAACTCTAAATTCGCTCTGAAACATGTAAATGCTAGTCCGGAAGAACAGATTGAGTCGCACACACTAAGTATTAACATCTCAGTCCTTGCCTATATCGAGTATTAATGGTAATGTTTTTGCTGTGGCGGCAGGCTGGCATATTCACAGATGGCAGACGACTTAGCAATACTTTTGTTGGCAGAAAGCAAAGTCAGGGCTTTGGATAATTCTGAAGAGCTAAAGAGCTATGACGCGGTCCTAGATGCACCGTTACCCGAGCACGTGAAGGCCTGTAGGCTTCAGGGAGCTGTTTCTGCGTTTACATCATGGCTGTCTGAGACTGCTGTGTGAATGCTTTGGATGCGATTTAGTCTGGTTGAGCGGAAGAGGCAGTCCACGTGAACTTTCCTCAGTCTGGTTCTTCAAGACAGTAGTGTGGTGGTCTCACTCCTGATACGGAATGCTATGACTGATACATGAGGCTGTAGAGATGGGTTCAGGTATAGGTTCATATGTAGATTGATAGAGGATGCTTGCTGGCTCTCATTTCTGGTCTTGTTGTCATTATTCGCAGTTTGGTTTGCCAGCCACGCATTCAGTCAGAGTTTCTTATCAAGCATGCGGGAAGTAGGTTGCGGAAAAAACGTAAAAAGGAGTTCTATTTTGCCTTTGTGCTATAGAGCGGGGTGTAGAGAGCACACTGGTTATTCCCCTTTACTGACAGTATGTATGAATTGGAAATTGTGTACTAAGAGTGTAGGTTGATTATTTTGTTCAGCTCCTCAAAAGGAATCCGACCATCGGTGTAAGCTTCCTGTGAATGTAGTCCATGAGGACTCGAGTTATTTGTATTTCCCCGAGAGGGAGTATATAAGGAGGGTTCAATTCGTGGCTGCTTTGATGTGGACGACACTATACTCGGACTGGAGTTGATTCCTCAATTCTGCTGTTATTAAAAGTGCCGAATGTGATTTTTTGCAATATTATAATGAATCTGATACTGTTTTTGTCGATGACTTCCACCTTCGGAACCATCAGGAGATTTTTTGGGACTATGTAGATTTTGGAGTTTGAAGATGCCAAGTGAATCTTGTCCACGCAATCGGTAATTATACACGCATAACCAGTCGAAAATCTGCGAAGCAAATACAGAAACTGGGAAGCCATAAAGGCTCCGGGAGAGGATTGTAACTGACTAGTCTGGTATCAAACTACCAAATCACGTGAGTGCACTGGACGGCTGGTCGTTGACTGTAGCTATATCGATACCACTCAGAGCTGAGGGATGAAGTAAGAAATAATCTTACTGTCTGAAAGAGATCATTATATTTTGGGTTGTCGGAGGTATGTAAGAAGCCACTCTCTCGGTGTGGAAGTATTGCTACTATCTCCGATTAGCAAGGTGAGGTAATTGAATGTTAATTAGATATGGGTCTGGGGTAACCCGGAAGATCAGTTCTTCTCGAGGTGAAGAATTATTAGAAGCCGGGTAGAGAATATCGCTTCGTTATATTTTCTGAAAGAAAATGTAGTGAATCAGGTAGGGTTGAAACTCTTTGAACAAGCTTACTGTGAAGCATCGAACTATCTTTTAAGGGAGCGCGAGCTCCGAAAACTTTTATAAATGGCTGTTTGCATGCATATTCACCGACGTTCCGGGTGAACTCAGCGTATCCTCTTGCTGTAGATAAAGCCCTGAAAGGTTATTGGTTACCAGTCAGTGCTTACTTCATGTCGTTCGAACTACATAGGAACTTTAGTCGATAATGTAAGGCAGGTCTCTTACACCCATCACGATAGTATGAACTCATGTCCGAAACAAACTATGACCTAGAGCTATTGTGCAATTTTTCAAGTAAAAGATAACCCCGTAGACAGTCGTCCTAGTGGGTTTCTCTTTTAGGGAGTTGCCGCCTTAATTACACTCTTTTATTGCCTTCTGAGGTAAGCAAGGGAGACGTAAGGCTTGAAACGACCTGAGGAATCATAATCACGGTTTCTATAAATGCATTCCCATGATATGCCAAGTTCTTCGTGGAAGTACAGTGCTCCCTGATAGTGTATGTCATTAAGCCTGAAGTACGCAGCATACATATTAGCTGTAGATGTGCATACTTTACGAATGATCACAATTTAACATCATACTGTAATATAATCTATGGGTCGTAAACAATATATATATTTAAACAAACTTAGATTATGCATAAAGAAATTAAGATCTTCACATTTTCTTTCACTATTGGTGATAAGATTTCTCCTGAATAGTAAAATGTTAACATTTTTCAGCGTACAATGTTTTCCATATTGTACGTTTAATGTGAAATCTGTTCTCAGTTCAGTTATTAGTTGTGTCTTTTTATTTGTTTAGGAGTAAATGCTGTAACAGTGTCACTCATGATTAAGATTAAGAATAATAGATATTGTAAGAAACGAATTAATACTTATCAATAAATTATTTAGTCTTTATAACTAGCTATGTAGTAGATCCATCAAGTTTTTGTTGGTAAGGTGTGTTCGGAAAGTGTTTCACGGCATTCTGCATTTCAAGCGTTATGGTTTGCTTCCGGAGGGAAAGAAGAAACTCTTAGACACAACGGTCCCCATTATTTTCTCTTGGCACCTTGTATGGAAAGTACATCTTCTTCAAGACCCAGTCCCGGGAGCGAACGACGTGCTGGAACGTGGTTGGACGGTCGCCAAGCGCAGTACAAGAGCCCTGGCAAGGCATGTGACCGCGCGCCCGTGCTCGGTCGGCTGTCGACGTTGTTCCCGGACGCCGGCTCCAGGCGAGGCATTGTGTGTGTGCGTGCCACGGCAGGGGAGGACAACGGGTGCCTTCCGTTTGAGCTGCAAGTCGGCGACAGCGGCAGCGCAAGCGAGAGCTGTGTGCGGGTGGCCTTGAAGGTCGCGAGTGCCGGGACAATGGGCCCTTCAGTTCTCGATGTGCATGACTCCGATCCACCTCCTCCCGCCGCGCCTCTGTTTCTCAAGCGGTATTATGAAATCGACCTCGTTGTTTTATGAATTTCGCAGGACGAGGTCGGAGCGATCTCGCGCGTCCAATTTCGGCGATTCCCCGTGCACTTCGGATTCTCTTCTCAATTCGGTGATTTGAATTGGAATTCCGCCAGACGAGGGCGTCCGCTGATTCTCCATCGAGGCCGGAGAGAGTATGATGAGACTGGACGTTTACTTTTGGTGAATGCTCTATTCCATTCTCTGTGCACGGCACTCCTTCACAAATCGCGGGGGTCGAGTTGCCAGATAAGGCTGTGTTGCTTGATTTTGCTTGGGAAAGAGAGCGAAGGGAATTTGGAGTAGGAGGCGAAGATGGTCCGTCGCCGGTACTTTGTTTGTTGAAAACAGAGTACTAGGACAAACGTAGATTCTAATTTGGAGTGAGCAGACAAATATATTTTCCTATCTTCATTCTATCTATGGTGGAAGGAAGTTCTGTCTTCACATTGCTCGCTCAGAGACTCTTTCCATATATTGCACGTGCACGATCATGCCTACATTTACAGAACGGTCTCATTTCTGTAGTCAGTTTTCTACCACCGATTGCGACATGATCTTCAATGCATCTTCGTTCGAAACTCAGGGCATCGTGATAGCTAAAGGGGCTTGGCTGTCGCATTTGCAGTCTTGGCCTGTTTTTTGCGACAACCTGGAACCCATAAGTTTCAAGCAAATGTATGAAAAATTGTCTGACCTGCACTTGGCTTAGATTTTTTGTATCTGTTACCTTTCACTTTGCACGATGACGATGGAAGCTCGGACAAGCCAATCTGCGCACACCTAAGCAATCTGAATTTCAGGAAAGAGTGGTTGAAAAGAACTCGGAAGAATACTCTGTGGGATCTGCTCAGTAAGTTGGTGAATTCCTAGCTACTTTTGAGATGATTTGCGTTACCAGCTATTTCAACTGAAGGAATCAAATCGGACGTATGGAATGCAGATTTTTATGCTCGGCAAGTTTTTCATCGGTTTTCGATGGAACTCGCCGGGGAGGATGGAAGCGTATTGGAACTGAAGGAAGGAACCCCACTTGTGCTGGGCAGAGTTGCTGGACTGTCTCATCACGATGGAAGTGTCTCTCGTCATCAAGTTGTGGTGGACCTGTTGAGGCCCAGCTCCAGGAAAGGAAAAGAGGTTATCGGACAGTCTCTTGGTCTTAAGCTTCAAGTTCAAGTTGTGGGTAGGAATCCAATCTGCGTTGTAAATCGAGGGACAGAAGAGAAGGGTAGGCCCAAAGTAAAGTTTTTGTGCAATGGTCAAAAGGACTGGTTGACATCAGGCGATCAGATTTCACTTTCTATTAAACGACCATTCTTCTACGAGCTGAGATTTGAAGGGCGTTCGAGCGCCTCCTTGGGAAACGCATCCCTTGATACCAAGGTTAGTAAAACGGGTATCGAAAGCACTCCGAACAGGAAAGGTGGAAAGGATGCCCAATTTACTTCCATGGATGAAGAAGAAGTAATTGCTGAAGCTGTTGCTAGACGCACGAAGGTCAACACGAACGGAGCTGAAAAGTATCCGGCCAAAAAGATACACATAAATGATGAACTTCGTCCCATGGATGAGGATGAAAGAATTGGTCAATCTATTGAGAGGTGTACGAAGGTAAGTACCAATGGCGATAAAAGGACTCCAGTCGAGACGAATAGCAGAGGTGAGGAGGACGAAAGAATTGCGGAAGCTGTTACCAGGCGTACGAAGGTTAACACCGGTGGGGTTGAGACTACTCAAATCAGAAAGAATAGCAGAGATGAAGAGGAGGAAGGATATGCTCAACCTGTTGCTAGGCGTAGGAAGGTAAACACCGACGAATTTGAAAATTCAACAGTCAAGAGTGCGCAAGATGCTAAGATCCCTCCTATGGATGAAGAGGAAGGAATTGCCGAAGCTGTTGCTAGACGCCAACGTAGAAGACTGGAGGGAGAAGGGACAGGAGGAAATAGCTCTACCAAGCGGCAGCATCAGGCAGCAAACGGTGTCTTCAAAGCTGAACAACACGGTAATGATGAAATTAAAGTAGAAGGCCATAAGGAAGAGAGTGCGCACAAAGCGGCTTCAAGGAAGGTGGAAAATGGTGAGCATGCCGTGGGGAAACATGAGGAAGCTATCAACCCACGAAACAATGGAAGCACATCTTCCCTGGATCCTGTCAAAGGTATGTCTTTTTCATCTTGCACAGTAGCGTTTTGTGAGCTCAACCTTACACCTATTCTTTTTTCCGTTTCAAGAAACTCTTTGCAGCTTCAAGATGCAAGTTGGTAAAAGAGTGTTCTACATATTTGTATCTTGATGTAATATGTTGATTGTGCTTTCAAAACTATGTATATTCAGGCCACGTTCATGATTTATGTACTATATTGCACCTTTGTTATAGCATGTAAATGTTAATGTCAGGCAAGTACAAATGACAGTCTTGTTTTAATTATCTTGCGGTTGCAATAGCTTATACAAGTTTCTGGCTGATGGCAGAGTTTGGCTTCCTTGTTGAAGGTTCGGAGTTCTCTGGGTTTGAGAAACAAATCAAAGCTAACCAGGGCCTGTGGAGATCGGATATTGGTCAGGATAAAGGAAAGGCAGATGATATTTCTGATGATGAGCCAATGACTTCTAAAAGAGGTGGTAATATAGGCAAGACCTTCGTAAGGAAACCACAAAACTCAGACGAAGAGGAAGAATGGGATGGAGATACTCAAGCGGAACAAGATCGTCTAAAAACCGTTGTGCAGAATAAAGGAAAGAGGGTTCTGACAACCAGAGAAACCAAGCCAAGAAATCCAGCGAGCAAGAGAGCTAATAATCAAAGCTTAACTTTGAAGCCATCAAAGAAACTCCAAGAGGATTCCGATGAGGACAGTGATGAGGATAGTGATGACGATGATGATTCCAGTGGATCTTTGCCTAATTTCGTAGTCGATGACGATGATCCTATAGAGGAAGACAGCGATGACGATGATGGCGATGGAGGCTCCTCGAAGAAACCTAAAGGGAAATCTGGAGGGAAGAATAAGAAACCGCTGTGCCAATACGGCAGCAAGTGCTACAGGTACTTCAGTACACTTATGGAAGTGAAACATAGTCATTGTAATGTCTTGGATAGACCTTTTATTGATAGAATATATGTTTTACATATATTCTATTATACATATGTTTCATATAAAGTATGGGAGCTTATATCTTTGCGCTGTTTAATTCAGGAAGAATGCCGAACATCGAGCACAGTTTTACCATCCTAGCCCATGAAGGCTTTGATGTGCTTCTTGCAGTTCTAAACGGCTGAATATAGTGCCGAAATGAAGAAGGTACTAGAGTTTGATTACTGCTTTAAGCTTCAACATCTTCCTTTCTCATGGAGTTCCTGTCTCTTTTGTTTTAGTTAGTCAGGAGAGGTTGAAAGCTTATGAGAAGTAAATAGTGCACCATGCAGAAAGTTTCGTTTGTTGTTGCTGGTGATAACTGTGTAGTCTCCGAATGTGGTATATAATTCTTTACTTTCATTATTACAGTCATTAAGGACTCAGAAGATTGATTATTGACAGACTCTGTACATCTGACAGGAGGAACGACATTTGTGATTTGATACACTGATGTGCCGGTTTCGATAGGCATCTCAAGTACTGCTCCAGTGGCTAGATCTGTTACCTTTAAAAAAGGCAGTTTATTCCAGTTTGTAAGATTAATGTATAATATGCAAATGTGAATCTCTTTTCTGTTATCTGTGAAGTATCCGCATGTATGTGATTCCAATGTTGTAAAACACTTGACGCTCTAGTGTACGTCCTTTAAGTTTTCAGGGTGGGTATGTGAATGAAGGTTGGAATATTGATATAAGCATTGTGAAGCTCATTTTCCTCCAAGCTCAGTATTCTATGACGTGGGAATCTTTTGGCGAAAGACTTGGTGTCACAAATACCTCATTCAATCCTGCAATCCAATTATTTGAACCCTACCGCCGAAGGCATTTTTTGCATTTTCAATTTCACTTATTAGGAGTACTACTTTGCTTCTTCAGACACTTCTTACGACAGTTCAGTCAAGATTATCCTATTTTTTCTTAATTTTCGATGGATTGAAATTACTGAAGACAAGTTTTGATCAGTCAAGTAAAATACGGATAGCTCATGTATTCTCTCTCTAAATTGTATATCTGTTCCGTATCGGTTGATTCTCCTCATTCATTCTGTACCTGTTTATTCTTTATTCTCAAACACAATCCACTCTGTCAGTCTTTTCCCCCTTTTCTCAGCAATCTCCTCGCAAATAGCAGTGGTAAGACGCCACATCCACAACCGCAAGGGCGTGACAAGTTTTCAGTCATCAGCTGAGTGGTATCTGCACACTATTTGTGGTACTATTAGTCTGCATCAATCAAAGGGAGTGAAATATCTGTTTCATCTCATTGTGCCTCACTTCTCAGTCATTTTGTAGGAAGTATGCACGAATTTGCTTTGGCAAGGCTTTTTTCCTTCTATCACACATACCTTACTTCAGAGAGATTTTGTAAGTTTTTTACACAAGTATTGTTAGTCATTAACCAACATTTAAGGTAATGTTTTGTTGTTTCTGACACGGCATATAAAATTTATCTCCACTGATTCCACAATTATATCTTTAAAATAACAATCATAATAGTGAATTGTCATGATACACAATACTATAGGTCGAGTTTTCGCGTATAGCAATCGCATGTTCCAAGAACACAGGACACTTGAAAGTGATCTACGTCGCATCTGCAACAGCACTTCCTCAAGTATTTATTTATTCATCCTATCTAGGTGTTAGTAGTACCATCTACACATGATTCCTTTTGGAGTTAGAGATGTTGGGTATCGTAGCCGGTCTGTGGCATACGATATCTCGTACACCACGCAGATGTCTGGGCGAACTTGATTGCAAATATTGTGATAGAGTCCGCGCTTCGACATATTGCAGAGTTGCGGAGTAAAGTTGCACCTTATTTCAGAGGACACTCTTCCTAAAGTCTGGAAAGACCTGTATTGTCTAGCAATTTCCTTACCACCTTAAGATTACCTTCAAGTAAGAGAACTTCAGGGAAGCAATAATAATAATGTTGATACGTCAGTTTTGTCGCACCGTTAATCTGCATGATAAGTTATTGTATCTGATAGCCTTGTATTTATTACTGGCACAGATCCCATGCGCATTACGGATGATCATAATTCCCAGCAGTTCTTCTGTTTCGGATCAAGTGATTATTAGGTTTGAGAGTCTAGTTAAGAAGAATTCGGCAATCTATATTCTATTATACACATTAAAGATTAGACTGCTCAATTCTACAACTATAAAGACTTGTTAAATATGTAATATATGTACACACACATGACTTGGATGCATGAACATGCACGCAAGTAGTTGGATTTGTTCGGGTGGTTCAGGTGCTATGCCAAGATGTGTCCCCCCGGTTGAATTATGGAGAGAAATTTAGAAGTAATAAGGTAGTGCTTTTCTTTTGTCACCGTGATGTGACTTCATCGTACAACAAATGTCCTCATCTCAAGAAAATTATTGAAGTCAAGTGATTTTCAATTTTGAGATTCTTGAAAATTAAATCATTGTGATCTACATTGAATATAAAAAGTTTTATCCAAAAATACAAGTGATTACATTTGATTGCATGTTCCGGGTGTTCATTCACAGGTATGAAGTCTATATAGTTGTAAAATTGAGCAATTTGAACGTGATATTTTGTTCACTCAGTCACAATATGCATGTCACTTACTGGTGGTCATCATCTCATGCTAAACATTTAAGTCACATAACATCTTTTCTGATTTGCAGTCACGATAATACATGTTTTGTGCACAACATGGGTTCTAGCCTCTCTAGGTATAAGCGTACTTTCTCCCATGCCATGATTCATTATATTGGGAAACTTTAGTCATGTTGACTAAATTCACTGGGAAAGAATCACGATCAACATGAAAAACTGTGAAAAAGTAAAACCAAGCATGGTTGCCTTTGCTTTGGGTCCCACGGATTTGTTCCATATCATTGGTATTGACATTGATGCGGTAAACCGATCTCGAGGGTGCTGCTGGAAGGGCCACTCAAAGTTGGCAAGTCCGTTGTGCGTTGAACAAAACCAGCATTGAAAACAGCATTGATTGAAATACATGGGGTTGTGCAATGGAGAAGGTAGTGCATGGGGTACGGTAAGGTACGGGTTAGGATCTGCTCAAGCGTTTCTCGATCCCTCTTACAGTAGACGGCTCTCGACCAGAGCTTTAGGACGAAATAGTTTGGGAATTTCATTCATAACACGGTCTTCAGAAAGACCGTGTTATGAATGCTATGAATTAGACCGTTCTGGACGCTCTCTTCCGTTTTCGAGGTCTTCGGAAAGACCTCAAAAACGGAAGAGAGCATCCAAAAAGGAAACGAAAGGAGAGGGCTGACTTGGACTAGTAGAATCAAAGCGGCAGAACCGTGAAAGCAATGGACTCGGGGCGCGAGTGTGCTGGTCCAGCTCCACAGATCAAGGAGTCGGCCGTGCTTCCCACATTTCACTGCAACCCGAAGACGTGCCACGACCGAGTATCACTCGAGCCACAGACGCAGACCCGGCACCAGCAGCCACTGGTTTCGCACCACGAACGGAATCCGTCGCTGACCGGTGGTTGCTCAGTCGCTGCCCGGCTGCAGCGCTTGTCTTCTTTGTGAGACTCTCACCCACCGAGGCCTCAAGATTCCAGCAGTGACTGCTGCAGTCTCCACGCCCACCGACCTGACGCTCCGTTCCAAATTGACTCCCGCCTGTCTGTCTCATTTGGATTCACCTCCTGTGAGGGGAGCTGAGGGGCCCAGACGGCTGCCCTTGGGTGTGGAGACGGCGGTGGGGTCAGCTGTATTTGGCATTTCTCTGCTCAGATCCTCTCGCTTCCTTCTTCGTCGTGCTCAGAGTTAGAGCTGGATAGCCGTGTCGAATCGGGGACCAGGGTCTCATCGCCTTCTTTCGCAGGCAGGCAGGCAGTCAGAGAGTCAGTCAAAGAGAGTGAGAGTCTGTGAGCGAGGGAGTCTTTTCTTCAGTGTGTCGACTCAGTCCATGGACACTTGGTGTCAGCTCGATTCTTCGAGAACGAGTGTGGACGTTGCCATCTGGACGAGTGCGCTGGTTTGAGTTCATTCCTCTGCGTGCTGCGAAGCTGACCAGTCTCTCGATTGAGTCGATCCAGGGCCGCTGAGAGCGTTTGGAGCTCGGAGCATAGTCGGAACTCCGGAGGCATGGCCCTGAGCGTTTGCATGCCAGCGCACTTCATCTCGTCGAAGATGTCTGGTGCTGGCCAAGTTGGCTTGTCGAGCAACTCTGCATCCAGATTTTGTGGTCTGAGCATGGAGGCGAACACGGGTTCAGATCTACTACAGAAGGGCGTACCAAAACTTGCCATCAACTGGAAATCCAGCGCCAGGGCTCCATCAGTCGGGCGATGGGGTCCGTCCAGCGTTGTTGCCGCATCTTCCTCTAGGTTCGGTTCCTATCGGCACCTCGGTTTTCTACAATGCTAATCCATAGTCGATTGCAATTACCATAGGCTAGAATCTTTCCTTCAATCCCGACCTTACAATGCCATAAGTTCCTGTCATGAGCGGGTTCTGAGCGCATTTGGGAATCCAGCTTCGCATTGCAAAGGAGTGTTGCGGTGCATGGATCACTGGACTGGAGGGATAGCAGGGCATGCATTGGATTTTGTGACCAAACAGGATCATCAGGGTGAACTCGAAGGCGTAGTTTACCTTTGATCACTGAAGAACTATCATCTGGACTTTCATCCCGCTTTTTCTCGAAGAGATCTGCACCTATATTAGGCTCGAACTTGTGGTCCTTTCCCCCCAATTCTTTTGAGGCTAAATTCTCTGTCCTTTTCGCTTACAAGTGCTGAACTAAGGCCAAAATAAATAAGTGCCGAATGAGCTCCATACTTTTCCTCAAGCGAGTAACTTCTTAACACCTCGATTGGAACTGTTGCAATCATAAGGAATAATTACGAGGTTAAACAAGCACCCCTTTTGATGGTTTACGTCATATTTCTGTTTGGAGTCATACACCGTTCTTACAGGCAACCCATTCATCTGCGCTGCCCTGCATGGAATACTTCTCCCTGATGGGCCGTTGTGTGCAGCAGAATTTTTTTTGGTGCTGCCCTCATGCTTTTTTTTTGGTCCACCCTCATGCTGACATTCACCGGATAACTGTCTGGTGCTGCAGAAGCGCTGGTGTTATGCAAGAGAAAGAAGAAACGGAAGAGCTGACGTTGGACAGCATTCGTGACTCCCTGATTCGACAAGAAGACAGTATCATTTACAACCTACTGGAACGTGCTCAGTACTGCACGAATCCTCCGACCTATGCCCCCGGGGTTTTCCAAATCGAAGGTTTCACCGGGTCGCTGATCGAGTTCTTGCTGAGAGAAACAGAGCGGCTCCATGCCAGCGTGAGTGGAGTCAAGAACCAACACTTTTCACTTTCACTTATTTTCGGGTTCATGTGATTTTCAATTTTGTCTAATCAAACGTCAGAACACTCGATTTGAATTGGAATCCCGACCGACGCCGGGTCTAATGCTTATAGAAGTTGGAGTGAATATTCAACTAGTATATTTCTAGCAAGAAATACATTTATATTTCTACTTTACTGTATCTTTGGAGATTTTGTGTGCCGATTGAAATCCGTTCAACAAGCGGCAGTTGTTCAAGATTCTCTCGGTCAACTTTCCGTAACAACCAAAAGAGCTCAGAATGAAAGTTGTTGGAAGAACGGAAGAGCCTTCTTGACAGTCATGTACGGTTGCTTTGGAGCAGGTTCGGCGGTATACCAGCCCTGATGAGCATGCCTTTTTTCCACAAGATCTACCCAAGCCCATCCTGCCTCCTATGGCTTACCCGAAGGTGAGAATTCGCAAAAGTCTGAAATTCTGAAGAGTAGTAATTTGTGATTAGGCTTAGCAACTGCGAAGACCTCGAAAATTTCATTTCATAGCCTTTGTCCGTGAGGTGATCTTAATACCGGAATGTAACTGTGTTGTGTTCAGGTTTTACATAAAGCAGCGGATGATATAAACATCAATTCGCTAGTGTGGGACATGTACTTTGATGACCTTTTGCCTGGAGTCGCTGTCGAGGGCGACGATGGAAACTACGGCTCTGCGGCAACGTGCGACGTGCTGTGCTTGCAGGTTGGCTACCTTTCAGCTTGTCTTCCCCTTCCATCTTATGCATATGTATATGCACAAAATCGGGCTTAAATTTTGTCTTCTAATACCTCAAGGCTTGACAATCTTTAATATGACATCCACACCAACATAGACCATCAAGCACTCGTATCACTGTAAGAGAATCACTTATATTGCTCTAAATGTTGGTTCCACCTCGACCAACTTTGCATCATCTACTTTATTCACTTAATGTGCACACAAAGACTCATCCTAGAGATTGACAGTCTTGGCGATTTGTCTAAAAGATCCGTGTATCGATGTATTTCCGCAGGCTTTGTCGAAGAGAATACATTACGGGAAGTTTGTTGCTGAAGCCAAGTTCAGAGTTACCCCACATCTCTTCGAACCTCATATCAGAAACCAGGTATTACTCATTGCCATCTTCATGTAGGCTTTCGTATCGATCAGTGTGTTCTAAATTGAAGATGTGAATGCTGATATTGAACCTTAACGTTTTTATACTGTCAATTAACCATTGACGTATTTTCACTCTAGCTCAAATGTAGCTCAGTTGTGCACGTTTAATACTTGCTGACACAAAGTTTTGCTTATTTGGTAGGATTCTGAAGCACTCTATAAGCTTATTACGTTCGAGAGCGTAGAGTTGAACGTGCAACGGAGAGTGGAAGCAAAAGCCAGGACTTTTGGTCAGGAGGTTGCTCTGGATGCAGCGAAGCCTCCAGTATATAAGATCGATCCCAAACTTGTAGCCCGGCTCTACGGCGACTGGGTCATGCCCCTAACCAAGAAAGTTCAAGTGCAATATCTGCTCCGAAGATTAGACAAGTGACTAACTTGTGACTGAGGTCAGTTTTTCTTACGTTTGGTCTATAATTTGCCATCACTTTTGGGCCCTCACTATCAGGTCATCTGTCCTCAGATAAGCTGCTGCTCAGCTACATTTATTCAAAAGCATGCCGTTTACCAGAAGAAGTTTAGATTAGATCAGTCGGTCTCAACATTTTCTTTTCAGACATACAATATTGCTACATCAGAGAAACTTTGGTATATCAGTGAAACGTGGACGTGGATATTAGATGCGTTAGATTCACCGGATGTAGATACCCACGAAGTTTGCCAACATTGATCATTATCTTACGCTGCTTTTGTGATCGGAGGTTGTCAGTAGTCACCTCCCATCAAATCAGCAGCGTTGGACCCCATTTGTTGTGTTCCATTTTTCTTTCTTGATAATAAAGGCTGGCATCTGCATTTATGTTCTCTTTCATCCATCTGTATGGTGGGCCGTTCTGAGAAACACTTTTTCAACGAGGAATGGGTTCATCAGTTTTGAAACAGGAAAAAGCAGCTGAGGGCAGAATTCTCTACTCACCTGCGTAATTTATGGACACATGAGGACTTTTATGACTCATATGTCATGTTAGTCATTGATTTTATTCACAGATAAAGTGAACACATCACGCATGGTATGCGTGAGATGTGTTCACACACCCTTTTGCATGTCCGCATGAACTTTTCTCCTGTACGAAATGTTTAGATGACATCATCGATGTACGAGTTGTCTTGCACCAGAGACGTGAAGAGAAATCAGATGCTAAGAACTCATAAAGTCGAAGAACAGGAAACGTACTTGGGATTTTGTAGTATACAAGAGATCAGCTACCTCGAGAATGGAGTTTGCCATAAATTCCACTCGACATTCTTCCAGATTAATGACAACGAACGTGAACTGTTTGACCAACTTTTTTAACGTCCTGAAGGTACCAAGCTGAGTTAGAGTAAGAGAAATGATATGATAAAACCCAGTGGTGAGGCGGGGTGCGTAAAGGGGTAGAACATGTGAGGTTTGCTTACAGCGTGTCCCACGAGGTGCAATTTCAACTGCTTTCTGGATTTCGATCCCCTTGAAGCTATCTCGTCCATTGACCCGTTCTTAGAGGGTGCCGGAAAGCAGCTGCATATGTGTAATAAAGGAGGGCATCTGCACCTCCATTATCTTAATCTTTAACGAAGACATCGATGCTTATCAAGCTTAGCCTCCGCCGATTTGTACAACATCAATCACGTCATGCTTCGTTGGATGTTTTTCTTTTACTCCAAACAGCGTAACAAATGCGTGATTGTACGCATTGTAAACAATATTTGTCCTAAGGAGCATAACTACGCCTATGCCCACCAGAAGTAGTAGCAAATCTACATATGAATCTTCAAGATGATAGCCACATTTTCGAGTAGTATGTAGTTACTACTATTTATGATACAGTGAGCAAGAAAATTACTTGATAGGGTATTGCGAAACGCAAAACACTTTCAATATTCATTCTAAATGAGAGACTCCTAATTTCCCTACATCATCCATGTTTCATTAGGAGGTATTGAAAATTACTTGATAGGATATTGCGAAACGAAAATGAGAGCACTACTAAATTCCCTACATCACAACATTTCCATGTTCCAATAGGAGGAATTGTAATCCAATAGATGATGGCTATAGTATGAGGGTAGTGATTGGCCAAAGTAATATAAATGAAAATATACAAATAATTATTGTGACAAAAGCTAATTCATGATCTTCAATCTAATGATGAAAATTTTCATGTACACTTTGACATTGATAAATTGAAGCTCAGGTCTCTCCCCTTGTTACTTATTGTTGATAGTTGATTTTGTTTCAAGAGCTTTTTGATTTTGAATAAATTGTGTTTGAATGACTAGTTGGTGCATTTTGAAGTTTTGAACTCTCATTCACAAGAGTTTGGGTATGTTTTAGTAACACCGTTTGACGAACCTTTGCTCTCTCATGTTAGATACAAGCCAAGCCGCTCACTAGTATCCTATTTCTAGATTGGATTGACTCTAACCCCAATCTTATATTGAAACATGTATGATGTTAGTTTGAAGACAATTAAAATTCCCATTCAGTAAAATAAATCGTGTTGAATTCTATCAATCTATCAATATTGCAAATACAATCTCGACATTTGCTATGTATTGCTTTCTGTACTCATAATCTTTACACCAACAAGTTATTAAGTCTCTTCTATTGGCCATGTTGGATTTACCACTATATTAGATTTTATGTTTAATTTTGATATTATTTGACACAAATTTTATCTGAACAGCGGTAACAAAAAAGAGAACTATTATAAGATTACCTACTATGTCACTATAAATTTCATTGTGATCAACTTTTTTTCCTTAATTAGACCTCGGGAAGGTAAGGTAAAAGGTAATTGGATAACACATGGGACTTTACCTTACCTTTTTCCTTACTCGCCCTACTACTATCTACCTTTACCCTTTACCTCTACTTCAGGGTATTAACTGGTTACTTAGTACAGATTTTTAAAGGTTTGAAAATTATCCTTACCTAAGGGTTACCCGGTAAATCTGCCTTTTTGATTAATATGTAGAGATAATAGGGTAATTTACCCGTTTAGTAAACTAATAAATTGTCAAATTGACATCATGTAACTGTGTGTTGTCTGGATATAGGCGTGGTAAAAGGTAATCGGATAACTCATGGGCCTTTACCTTACTCGCGCCACTACTGTCTACCTTTACCCTTTACCTCTACTTCAGTGTATTAACTGGTTACTTAGTACGGATTTTTAAAGGTTTGAAAGTTATCCTTGCCTAAGGGTTACCCGATAAATCTACCTTTTAAGTTAATATGTAGAGGTAATAGGGTAATTTACTTGTTTAGTAAACTAATAAATTGTCAAATTGACATCCTATAACTGTGTGTTGTCTGAATATAGGCGTGGTAAACAAAAGATTCGTGAAGTATGTCTCCCTTGCCATCGATGCCGTAATTTGACCCCAATTTAAAAACTAACGATCTTCATGTTTTTGGTTATAAAAATTATTAACTTGGCGTAAATCTACAATACAGTTTCTGGATTTTTTGCAAAGCTAGAGCCAAATGGATTAACCAGTTAATCCATTTGATTCTACCTTTATCTTATCCTATAGCCAAAACTCTAACTTTTACCCTTACGTTTTACCATTTTATTGAGTAAACATCAAAAAGTAATCTTACCTTGTAGAGGCCTATCCTTAATACAATCTTTTGGAAATTGTAGAGCTCTTAAAACAAATCAGCAGATAAGGAAGGAACTCACTAGTTCAGTACTTGCAACAAATTACCAACATTGTTATTTGTTCCAAATATTAGAACTACAATAAGGAGCGAGAGAAGCTGGACCTGAGCTTCAGTTTATCAATGTCAATATGTGCATGATAATTTTTATTGTCCAATTGGTTGTTTAGAATTGCATTTCGTTAGGACTAAGAATTGACAAAAATATGTGATGTAACAAATGCCTTGTATAACTTATTGTCTAATGTGCTTGCTCTGAATCTTTTGTTGAAATGATGTATTTTTAGCATGTCTATTTACAATTACAAAAGTAGTAGCACTTACTCAAAAGTTTACAATAGCATAGATCTTTCCATACTTGTTTTAGAACAATTCACCTAAACCAGAATAAAAAATAAAATAAAATCTCAATTGTTTTTATATTTTCAATCTATAAATATTAAAGTTCAATCTTATTCTTCTGTTTGATCTGGTTAGTATTGTATTTTTTTACATCAGTAGCAAAGAGATTACGGTTATGAACAACATTTAGTCGATTTATATAAAACACTTTGTAATTGATGATGATATCAGTTATTCATGTCCAACTCTTGGGAGCTTTCCAGAATGAAACATTAGCTACATGAGAATCACAAGTTCATTTGGAATATATTTGGATTTGATATCAGTCAGTGAACAAATGCATTACATAATCAAAAGTGCGTTGTTGTGACTAGCTTGGATGTACAACACATAATATAATTTGAGAAATAAATAACATATTGAATAAAATTTTGATAACTAAAATTAAAATCAACATATCATTTTTTACATAGAAAACATTTTCAAATTGGAAGCTTTTGTGATGCAGGAAGATTTTGCCATGTATACATTTTGCCAAGTCTTGATTAGCATTCATATTACTATCAATTTCATTGAACGTGAACAGAGAATAAAGTACGGGAAGGAGTCAATCATCCACCTACTTGAGAGTATTAGTACGCACCATCAAAAAATTATAATTTACTTATCAACATCTGATTATGAAGCCAACATGCATTGACAAAGATTTGGTTTTAATGACAAAGCGAGGAGTGTTTTTTTTTGCATAATGATAGAACGATCTGGGTTTCCATATGTCTGGGAGGGATTCAAAAAGAGAAAGAAAACTCCGATTGAGTAGAAAATACACCCGAAGTGGTAGGAGGCCATGCTTTGAGCAATATACTAAGGCGGAGTTCTAGATCAATTGAAAGTATATGATCTTGATGACTCAAATGTTCTCAAGCTGTTCACAATTGACACAACCAAGGATTTGATTGATAAGAAAAGAAAATTATTAATGGATATCGAGTAGACATGATTCAGAATTCTTTTAAACGGCAGATCATGATGAAGATATTGTGAGCTAATTGACAACCAAAGAAAGCTGAAAGAAGTTGTAGGTACCGTGGAAAGGCTTAAAAAAGACTTAGAACAAATTTTGTGGTTACAAACAGAGAGAAAGACACTCTGATAAAGCATGGAGATAATGTGTCATTCCAAAGATTTGTGCACGTAAAGAAGGTAATTTGATATTCACCTTCAAGCAAATCTATCACCAAATTCACCTCACTGCTTTTCCCATTGCTTTGTTTGAATGTTACAATTCTCGAGGATTAATTGCTGTAGATTGATCAATTTGGAATATCTTTGTCTTGCGATTGTGTTACAGTAGTGAAAAATTCCCACTTAATTATAATTTTCTTATCAAATCACTTCATTCTCTTGGTAACAAGCTCACATTCGGTGTTTTTGAGATTGAGTTTGTACTTATGTGTTGTTACAAAATACATCGGGCATCTCTAGAAAGTTGGTTTCTCTAACGATCAGGCTGAAGAACATATCATCCGGCAGAAGACTTTCATCATCAGAGACCCGCACCACCAACAAAACCAGCCACGGGTTTGCCTCCTTCCACAATTGTATCAACAGAAAGAATTTTAGATTTTCAAGCTAATACAGGACTAGTGTAGTTTTTTGGAAATAGCTTTAGAAAATCACATAAAAAAACACCATTGCAAGAATGTTTTCCAACACGAAGACAAGCTAATTGTATATTTTGAAATGCCATATCAACGAAGAACATGTCTCCACGTCATTGTGGGCCGACTAGTTTGCAGTGGATGATGGAAGCATGTAGCACAAAATTTGATGAAGGACAGAAGTACATTCTTTAGAAGTATGATGAGTTGGTGACTACAGATTGGATGGTTATAACACCTATGGAATGTGTCGAAATTGATACCGTTACCTTTTGTCCCCGATATCCAGCGCCCATATTTTTAGGACATGTTTTGTGTCAGTCAATATGGTTCTAACTGGATCCGAGGTTCGATTCGTACATTAAAGCAATAGGGACTACATTGACCGTCAGGTCCGGAACACCATACAACCTGATGGACTCGTCAAATACCTGTCTACGAGACTACCTTTTATCGTCTACTGTCGCAGGCGGCCCCTGAATTTGTTAACTGTAGTCACGATTTTGTTAACTTTTGGCATCCGCTATCATTTCTTCTATTTCTTTGTCTCCCCAATCACCTTATTATTGTGTCTTTTTCCATTCAATGCACAAAATAACGACAGAAAATCAGAGCAATCGCAAGATATTTTCTGCTAAAGAAGAGCTGATCACTCACGGAGGCGGAATAAGCAAAGCCAGCAGGGAATAATACATGTAAAGAATAGAGTATAATTAAGACTGCCGGATACAAACACAAAGAGAGGGTGTCATGCAACCCGACCACGTGAAATGTGCGCTCACGGTCGACAGGTAACCTGGGACCTCGCGCTGCCGGTAGATTTGTGCCCTTGCGACTTCTGCGAGGCTCCGGCTCCGTTTGGACAAAACCGTTCTGGAGGTGAGCCCGCCGGGAGGACGGGTCTCACGCAAGCAACGCCCGAAGGATGGGGCCCACCGGCGGTCTCGGACAGTCAAAGGCGGCCGAAGGAAAGCAAGAAACGACGAAGGAATAGAGTCCCAGGACAGTCCTCGGACTCGCGAGTCGTTCCCGAGTCCGAGGTGGCCATTCTTCCGCTCTAACCGGCACCAGAACCGCGGATCGGAAACACACCGTCGGGTAGTGATGGGCACGGCTCGGCTAATGGCTAGTCGATAAATATTGCCACTTCTATCCGAGGCCGAAAACGAACCGTAAACTCGGACCAAATTTACGTTTTCAGCCGAAATTATCGCATACACATTTATGTGGACCGAATATTTCGGTCCACATAAAACACAGTCGGTTGATTGTATTTGCGTCTAATAGCCGACGGCTAGCCGGCTAAATTTGAGTCCCAGCCGGCTAGCCGAAAGTGAGCCGGCTACGTGCCCATCCCTACCGTCGGGCTGGGTATCGCGCTTGGTTGGCCAAACGGTCGGGACCTCAGTGCGAATCTGCAGAGCCCGTCGTCGACCGGCGTGATCGGTGAAAGGAGGTGGAGAGAAGGAAGTTGTGAGCGAGGCTTGCCGTGAGACGCACCACCGGCGATGACCGACGCCGAGTCGGGAGAGCCGGGAACTCTCGAGAGCGTAGGAGTAACCTTCGATCTGTAGGTTTCGAAGGCGGGAATTAAGAACGCGATTGGTTCACGAGAGGGAGTCGCGAGCATGGGCCGTGTCGAGTTGCGCGCCTTGATTTGGTCGACGCCGCCGAAGGCCGTCCGCGGCAGCAGCGGGCCTCGGGACTGAGACAAAAGTAAGCGAGAGCGAGAGCGAGAGCGAAAGCGGGCGCGAGGAAGAGCAAGAGGAGGACGAGAGGCACGCGAGTTTGGCGATGCCAGCTCCGTTCGCTCTCATTCGCTCGAAAGAGTGTTTGCGTTAGCGTCGTGGGCTCTGGACTGCTGCTGCTGCTGCTGCAGGCTGGGCTGGTGCGAGGGGGATGGAGAGCGCAATCTTCTTCTTCTTCAATGCCAGCGCCTCCGGAGCATGCTCGGGCTCGCGTGTCCAATCCATGCCAATGATTCCCCTGCTCGCTGCTGCTGACACCGTTCGTTTGTCCTCTTTTGTGTGCCCCCAATTCCGACCGTCATCTTTCAGCGCTCTGCTGTGAACGCCTCGAGCGTTTTGAGCTCAGGCGAGGGAGGGAGGTGGGGATGCTGTTGCGGATTTTCCCTGGGACTCTGGTGCCGGTTCTGTAATTATCGTCGGGCATTTGCAGCGAGTGTCGTGCGCCCGATTTCGGTGGTGTTGGAGGCGTTTCTCACCGGGAGACGCTGTTGACGGGCGTGCGCCGGGCTATCCCTAGTTGCTTCCCGAGCAATGCACGCGCGCCTGTGCTGAAATTTGTGGGCGTCTAGGGATAGCGGAGCTCGTGGTGGGGTTTAAAGGGTTTAGGTTGCAGGTTCTTGCTTCTGATCGCGGGAGTTCTGGTCTTTACCACGGCTGGGGATTTTCCTTTGGCCCAATTCGCGGCCCTGTTTTGACGACGGGGATGTCCGGCTGACGTGCAGCTCTTCTCGTTATGGCCACCTTGCATACATCAAAATTGAGTTATTGTATATGACGCCATGAATCTCTGCTTGCTTGGTATGTCAACCTATTTTCATCTGCGATTTGTCAATTGTTGTTGGAAGCTCTGTGCAGTACCTCACATTTTTTGAAGTTCTTTTTCTGTGTCTTTGCACGAGGCTAGATTTTTTTTTTTAATTGGACATCATTCTCGAAAATTCAAATTTCACGACGTTTCTGTTTTTGGTTCCTTGTAGTGTCAGTTCCTCAATTTAAGTAAGAATGGAATTGGACAATGTCGAATAGATTTTAGCACTAGGCTTCAGGACGTGGTCTCGGATACATTCTCTTTGTTTAGATTAAATCAATTTGTAATTGGAACATTGGTCGAAAGTCCTCATGATTATAGGGGTCGAAGTAAATTGTTACTTGCCAGGCGAATGAAGTAGTGAGTTGTACTTAAACCCTAGAATGCATCTCAGCCCTAACCCTAACAGATTATGTGCTTTGATCAACAGACCCATTTCAAAGCGATTTTCCAGAGGTAATTGAGGAGTATCTCGTACATGGAAGCGCAAAGTGTATAGCTTTTAATCGACGCGGAACTCTTTTAGCAGGTGAAGCACGAGTGTCCAACATTCGCTTGTCTGAATAATCATGAAGGGGAGGCTGATCAAAGGCCCTTATTATCGTCATATCATTTGCTGCTCGAGTTCCCTTAATTATTTTTAAAATCAAACCACTTTTGTTTTAACGGATATCGACGATTCAACGCTAGATCAAAGTGATAGTGAGGAAATTTTAAAACCTCTATGAGATCAAACCCTGTCGACGATGAACTGAAGCTAGTTTCTGCAGCATGACACTATCACCTTCGAGTTCATAGTCAATCTTTGCTGCCATCGCCCTTGCAAACCCTGGGTTATTTGGAGGCTGATAAAATTGAGAATTCTTGCCCTGTTCCTCGCGAATTTTTTCATCCATACCAGTTATACGTTTCCTCTTGGTGTGACTGTCACGAATCTTATAGGTTAATAGATTGTTCAGAATGAACTGTGAAATGTACCTTCTTTGTGCTGTATTCTGAGATTATCCCTCAATCCTCTGCAGTTAATGTAGGCAATAGCAGCAATGAACAAGCATTCCACTGTTGGCTAGGATTGAAGTTTGAGGTCATAATCTAGCTCCATCGAAATATCAGACCAGCTCAACTCGAAATACCGATTTGCCAAATATTGAGGAAGCAGAAGTAGTGTTAGAAGCGAATGGGTGCAGAGTCCTTGTCAGAGATTATGTGCGGATGGATGATAACTTCGAATGTTTTCTTGTTTCTCCGATCAGCGGGCTGTGCAGATGGGTCGTGCGTCATTTGGGATTTTGACACGCGTGGGGTAGCGAAAGAGTTGCGCGATCCAAATTGCTCTGCATCTGTGACAAGTGTAAGCTGGTCCAAGTGCGGTCGTCGATTGCTCGCGGCGTTGACGGATAAGACTCTTGTTCTGTGGGATGTTTACCTGGGCGAGAAAAACTTTTCGATCACTTTGCACCAGACGGTTTTGAACTGTCGTCTAGATCCAGGGAAAGCTCTTCCCACTTTGTGTTTGGCTTGTCCTCTGAGTGGCGCTCCCATTCTTGTAGATTTCAAAACCGGTGAGCTACAGACCCTGCCAGTAGTTGTCCCTAATGTGCACGGAGAGGAAGGGCCTTCTAATGGGCGTGGAAAACATGGGGATTCCAATCCAGGATACTCGCAGTCTACAGCGAGTTTCAACAAGAAGGGAGATCTTATTTACGTGGGCAATTCCAAGGGCGAAATTCTTATTATTGATACCGAAACGCGCAGGGTCAAAACAGTGGTTTCAGTCCCTGGTGGCGCAGCTATTCGTCACATTGTTTTCAGTCGGAGTGGACAGTTCCTGTTGACTAACTCGAATGACAGAATCATCAGAGTGTTTGAAAATCTTCTACCAAGAGACAAGGCTGCCGCAACTCTGGCTGACGCTGTCAATTCTTCTGCGAATGGAGTAAGCGAGGGCAAGAAGGTTCCAGGAATCAATTGTCTCAAGCTGACCAAAGATTTTCAAGATGCTGTAAATAGAATGCATTGGAAGGCAGCTTGCTTCAATGGCGATGGTGAGTGCGTTGTGGGAGCTTCTGCCAACAAAGGAGAACATAAAATCCACATTTGGAATCGCAATTTTGGGCAACTTGCTCGTATACTGGAAGGTCCGAAGGAAGGCCTGTGTGATCTCGCATGGCATCCAACGCGACCAGTAGTTGCGTCTGTGTCCATGTCAGGTGCCGTGTACTTATGGGCAAAGGATTACACCGAAAACTGGAGTGCATTTGCTCCTGACTTCAAAGAGCTGGAAGAGAATGAGGAGTACGTAGAAAGGGAAGACGAGTTTGACATCATTCCTGAAGCCGACAAGGTACGCCTTACCTCCTCTGGGTCGATTGGACGTCTTTAAGTCTGTATTGACTCTGTTCATGTAACCTACACCTCCTCGTCATAGTAGCTCTTTCGCACTTTCCTTGACTATATCTTGCTATTTTAGTGCCATCAGATTGCCAGTTTGGCGAGAGACTCTGATTCTAAGATTAGACACCTCTCAACCTTGCATCAGTCTGCTTTAGTTTCTGTCCTCTAGGTCAGCTTTATGTCGTGTGTATCTTTTCAGAATTCGTTCATTCTTCCCGGGGATTTTGCTGATGTCAGTTGTATCGATTTAAATTAATATCCGTAGTGATTAGTGACCAACCTCAAAATTATGGTCCTGTTGATGAAGCTGATCAACCCTGCTGCAGGTCAAGCCGGCACGGGTTGATGATGATGTGGAGGTAGATGTTGAAACGGTAGAAAAAGTTGCGGCTTTCAGCGATTCTGACGACTCACAAGATGGACTCTACTTTTTGCCCACGATTCCGCTGCCCGACGAACATCCTGAACAACCTGAAAGTCCGTCACACGAACAACCGGCCACTCCTCCAAAACCGTCGAGCAGTAGTGCCACCGAGACGGATGCAGGGTCCCCCACATCTGATCGAGGACTCAATTCACGGCAGATGGAGCTGAATCCCACTCAGTCGGTGGATTCCCCAGCAGGTCCGTTCCCCGCATGGGATGTTCGTTTGACAGTCATCTCTTTAGCGTTGGGTCGTCGCATGGATTGGAACTCTGATCGATATACGAATGGCATGTTGTATATTTCCAGCTGATGCTTAAGTTAGTCAAGTGAAAAATAAGGTAGAAATGGGGGCTGCCGAGTCACCTGTCACCTGCCGAGTTGTCTAGGTCGCCAGATACGGAGATTTGTTCACGAACTGAATTTGAAGAATGATGACTTCCTAACACAAATTGGGACGTTTGTTTCAATTTCAGAGGACGAGGTTGGACCCAATGGCCGGATAAAGCGAAAGCGGAAACTTTCAGAAAAGGCAGCTGAATTACAGGCAGAAAAGGGTCGCAAGACAGCTCAACTGAAAGTTCGAGAATCAACTCCGAAGTCCAAGAGTGATGGAAAGTCTAGCTTCTCGAGGAGCTTCCCAGTGGAACCGGAGTCAGTTGAGAAAGAAGAGCCGTTTATTGAGAAAGTGGTCAACCCTCAGCCTGTTCCCAAAGAGGACTCCCCTCCGAAGGTCAAGGTGCCGAAGGTCAAGCCAGCAAAGCCGAAGCCTTCAATCAAGCGGGATCAGGACATTAGAAAGGAGCAGGAGGCCAAGATTGAACAAGAATCCAGACATGAAAAGGAGGTTAGAAGGGACCTGGATGCTAGAAGAGATCAGGAGGAATCCGCAGGATATGCAGACGATGAGGTTCGCATACTTCACTCATGAATTTTGTTGGTGGTCTCGTCAAACGTCGAAGCTTTTGGCCTCACAAGTGGATGTGATAGAATTAAAGCAGTCCAAAGGATTGATTATTGTGGCCGTGGCATTCTCTCAAGTACACTCATCAAATTTATGCCTCGTAAAATCGTCCGATAAATTTTTTGTCGCTTCAAAGTCGACATTTCTCTTTGGCACATGCACTATGAGATGTCCGTACTTATTGCAGAAAATTGCCATCGATTGTTTAAACAGCAGGTGGGGCCGCCGCGCGTGAAGAAGAATCCGAAGCCGCGAAGGTCGAAGCCGGTCGCGTCACTGACGAAACCCTTCATCGGAAGAGATTCAAACACAGACACCCATGATCAGTTCATTGGCTGATCCAGCGTATAGGTGTCGATGTTCTCTCGCTGCCCGTTGTGCATAGATAGGAACGATTTTGAGACAATAGTAGAAGCAGTAGAAGAAATCCGATAGAGGTTGCTCTCGGGAGCAACTTATTCCTCGCCTTTTCCAATGATCGATGTGCACCTGTATTTCCAGTGTTTCCAAAATTGTACGTAACGGTCCATTGGCTACATTTTTTTCTGGATCCAGAGGGTGGCGGGTTGAAGTTTATTAATCGTCGGGCAGGGAAGCTTCTTAACGATGTGATTTCTTCATGAAAGCTTTGTTTCCAGGATCTCTCAGCAGATGATCGCGCTTTCCGATGAACTGAATCTCGTTTTCGCCTTTGAAGCTGCTCAGTGACCCGCCTAATGTGTCCTCTATGAAACTTGGGATTGCACATCTCGGAATTAAGCAATGATACTATATTTCCAAGTCGAAGCAGGAGTGGGCAATGATGTGACAATAGATATATCGCCATAGGTAAATGTTGGTATTCGGAAAATTTAACGGAGGCAGGTGAATGGGATATTTGAAAGCTTGGCTTGTTGTGATTTTTTAGGGAAATGTAACATAACTACAAGTGGAGGTATTTGCTGTAAATTTCAATCCAAACGAGTGGCATTCATCTCGAAGGGAACAATTGAAAATGTGTATCTTCGTAAAATCATGCTTACTGACTACGTCCTATTCAATTGGAAATAAATCTTAACTCCAGTTTTATCTAATGTCTTAACGATTTCAGTAGTCTTAACCCATTGATTCCAAAAAAGACCTGGTCGAACTGATAATATTTCATCATGTACTACAAAGAAACATGAATAACATCACAACGGTCATTCACAATTGTTTACGTGGAACCTCGGTTTACAGGTTCAAAACCAAGCGTAGCAACTAGCCCAATTTAACTTTCAAAGTGAATTCAACTACATCTTTTTATTTTGATTGATTCAACATAAAATTCAGTTACTTAGTTTAGATTAATCAAGTTAATTTTAGTTTCACTGAAATACAAATATCAGATGTATAACATTTTGATCTCTTCATTGTAAAAATTTTAATTAGAAATTAGCTGGTTCACGTAAGTAGATAGTCCTTAATCAAATATTACATTTTGCAATTATGATCTAAAATTTACTTAAATTTATCTATTAATACTAGATATTATATAAGTAGAATTTTAAGAATAAAATTTCCAATGATGATTAGATTGGAAAATTTGATATGGAACAAATTTATAATTTTCACATATGTACTACCTTTGTGAATTATGAATAAACATGATATTTTCATATGTGAGTATAATGCTAGGAAGTAACATGTTATAGCAGATTCTTTTGACATCATAAAATTAAATCTATTGTAAAGTGTGATCTGAAAGATTATTTCATTGCAATCAATATCTAACGTGTTTCAAATAACAATAAAAATAAATAAATTTTAAAATTTTCTTTATATGTCTCAAAAACTTATGTTTAATCATCATTTTGGTCAATAATTCATTTTTATTGAAAGATCTGATCTAACTCAATGTTCTATGCGTAATAGCATAATTGTAAAGAATTACAATAATTTTTATATTTTTATTTGATAGTATTTAGAACGTATTATTTATTATAATTGAATATTAAGGTTTGAAAAATAAGAAAAAATTTAATAAAATTTTGAAATAATTTTCATTATGTTGATCCTTTATATTTTTACATGATTATAATTTTTTTTTCATTATTTAAAAATGATTATACTTTGATTCTTTATTTTAGATTTTTAAAATTTAAATTTTTAGCTTAAAGATTGAAATATACTAAGAATATGATGAGTTTGATTTCAACATTACTTGTAAATCATAATCTTAAAAAATATTTTATTTTATAAATAAGAAAATTATAGTTTTTATCTATAAATTAAAATCATGATCAGAAAGTCAAATGACATTTTCTTGTGTTTGAACATCTTCTTTAACTTTCTTTTATATTCGTTCGTAAATCTCCTTAGACAACATTATGTTATTTAAGTTGATTATTATAAATTATTTTCAACTTTCTAGAATCAATTTACAGTAGTAATGCACAATATTATACTTTTATAGAAATTTCATTTAATCTTTTAGTAATATATCATATATTAAATAATTATTATTAGTATTTTTTTCAGTGGAGTTTTCATGTTTTCAATTTTTCAATTCATTAAAAATAGAAACTTTGTAACAAAGATGACATCATTGCTTAACTTATTATTTAAAAAAAGATATTTTTTTTTGAACATACACAAAAATCATTCACAATTATTTCTGTTTGAAATTAATTCATTTCTTGATAAATAATATTAAATTTTTCATAACAATTTTTCTTTTTATCTGAAATTTGAAATCATATTCAGCTTTATATTTTCAAATTTGTAAAGTCATTTCTTATTTTTTAAGATGGAGTTCAATAAAGAAAATAAGAATAAAATATATTTTATTACTTAGTATGTAAAAAAAAAGTTATATATATAGATCTAAATTATTCTGAGACGAGTATATAAAAAATTCATATTTATATTACAAATACTGCTTGCTTTCTTCAAAATCTGGATACTTGAAAATAGCAAAATATCTTATCAATGCCCAAAACTACACAAAAATGTAAAAAGTATTGTTACATCAGCCACTGAATATTAATAAAACAGGACATCATACCAAACTGTTCAGAGTACTTTCACTTATTGTGATTGATTTTGGCTAATTATATACTTCAAATATGAGTTTTATGGGTTTAGGTCTTATGATTTAAACCTCATCTTCTCAATTTACAATTCAACAAAATTAAATTTGATTTTTTGTTCCATTGATAAAATAGTGTTTGTAAGTCAAGAATAAATGAGTATTTTTATTTTGTTTAGTTTCATGATTTTATCTAGTAAAACAATTTGTGCTTGTTTGAATCTTCTCATAACCTTCCACTTGATGTTTTGTTTAATCGGTGACAACATTAATACTATAGTATAATTTTAGTTTTCATTATGGCTAACCTAAAAGGTTTCATCTTTTCATTCATATTCTTCTCATTCTAGTATGCTGTTGAAAGTTGGTGGTAACATGAATCTTATTCCCTATGGTCTAGATCAAGTCGTGTAGATCTTGGTAAAGTGATGCATCAATCCGATTGGTATTTGATAGCCATTTATCCCCTTTTACTTAGTTTAACCTTGTGGAAATTTTTGTTTTTATGCTTTCACCTCTTTCACAAAAAGATGCGTCGCCAGGTGTAGTCGTCGCGAAGATCCAGTGTATAAGTTTGTCACACTCTGATTTTGGGCGGTAGTAGTCAACTAAGTATAGGATGACGAAGACATATAATCTCTTCTGCCTCTATTGCTTTGGCCTCAATATTAGAATAGATGCAAGAAAATCTGCTTGCTCGGTGACCGAGCGCCCGGTTTCTCGAATACCTTCCCATTTTCATAAACATTCCGTCGGCGGCACCCCTTTGCCTTTGCCCAAGATAACTCTAGCCGGTCATAGACAATAGTTTTCACATGCTTGTGACTGAATGTACTATAATACTAATTTCATATGGCTATAACTTTCTCTAGTTTATATTAAATAAAATATTTTTTTTAAAAATGTTCCCAGCGCTGCATGTATGAGAACTATGAATTTTACGAAGCTATATTACACGCTGATGTTGTTTTGTAGATGGTGACAATATTTTAACGATTGTAGTGCACATAATTAGTCGCCTCACCTAGATGTTAGCTCCATCTCACAATTACCAGGAGTTCAACAGTTGCTCCGTGTGACAAACTGACTGAAGAGATGATAGGCGTGAGTCAAATGACACTTTTGGTCGAGAACCTGTAAACCCTTCAAAATGAAGAGATCTCTGTCGAGTTCCTACGTACAAAAGTTCAAATCAGGGTGGAGAACCAGCCGACGACAAGAATCTACTCACCTTCAGTGTAAAGCTCCATGCAGTTAGTTAGTCCTCGAGCGAGAATGTCCTTGTAGAATCAGCTTGGCTTCTCAATTTTGTGGTCTTGGTCCATGACCGCGAATCATCGCAAATCAGGCGCGGAAAGGACTTCTCTCTATTAGCAGGCTCTTTACTTTTATGTAGATTTTTACAGAATTGAACAATGGAGGACAAAAGTTTGGATTGGATGGATGAAGGATTCGAGGAAGATGTTCAGATTGACCAGGATGGTTTCCCAATTTTCCCGATTCAGGAAATAGCTTCAGAAGTAGACTCTACTGTCATCACTTCGAAAGATCGTGGTAGAGCTGGAGCCGCCGGAGCTGCTGGAGGTCCATTGGCCGTCCCAGGATTCACATCAGGGCGCATCAATGTTCACAATTTTCGCCAGTCATGCGGAGCTCTTTTGTCGGTTTGTTTTTTTAATTCACTCACATTGTTTTTGTCAAAGTGATTGATTAGTGGAATGTGTGAACATAGGGTGGCTTCTGATTTAACAAAAGCATATATCATGGATTTCTGGCTTGAATGCTGTAATTTGTAGCAGTATCTGACTATGAGTTTTACAAATTGTCTATTTTTTCTCTCTTCCGAATTTCGTTTGGTTTTGATATTTAGAAAATGTTGAGCTTATATGTTGTAAACCATCCACATGTTTGGTTTATGAAAATTTTTCATCTTGTGATGAAAATTGTGGTGTATGCGAATCACGCGATGGTGTACAAATCTGACTGAGCTTTAATTTCTTGCAGACACTTAAAGCAGGACTGGCGGATTGCAGCATGGAAGTGGATGACATCTGTGTCAGGTGAGTGGTCAAGGATATATGCATGTTCTCTGTGATAGAGAACCTATGGGATGACTAAGATGTCCTCCTTTCAAATAGATTATGAGCGCTGAAATGTATGTACAATTATAACAATTCATCTCCTGACTTGAAAGGTACACAGGTCACAAATCTGTTCAAACTGTTCCAAGTTTCTTCGTTTTTGGGTACAGTGTCGACGACCTGAAGGTTATGACAGACGCCATGCTTGTGGAGAAGGCATTAGCCGAAGTTTTGCAGGTAGGTCAAGGGGGAAGGATGGGTTTTAGGTCATAACAATTCTTTCCTTGAGGTTGATAGTGGTTGTCAACGCAATAGATAGTGGAAAAGTCAATATGCTCCACATTGTTTCAAATATGAATCGAAATTTTACTTGGCTGTGATCAATTTTTTTTTCGAGGTCGTGTTCAATTAGTAGAAGACTTTTTGAGCGTTGAATTGTTCCAAAATGAGTTGTCATCATCGTGTTCCTTATGGTAAAGTTCGTTCTGCAGGGACAAAGCATTGTGCCAGTTGGAGAAAATCCACAGGAAAAGTCTTCAGAAGACAACGGTGAGAATACGAAGTTTCATCATTAGACCACGTTGATATATATTGAGTGCGACAGTTATTTCTGTTTGCCAGAGGATCTTTTGATGATGTCCACTTTTGGAAATTGAACTTTTTGAAGTTAATAAATATCATAGAACCTTTCTGTGGTCTCGTCATCTGGTTATTTTAAATGAAATCAAGCCCTCACTGAACTCTCTATCTTTCGTGTGTTGGGAATCTGTGCTCAAATCAGGAATAGGGAAGGAACATATTACACTGACGCTGTTGTCTATAGAGGGTGCTGCCGTCGCGGCAGAGAATGGAAACGGCAATCATAGCGAGCAAGTTAATGTGTGTTCAAAGCCCCGCAAGAATGAAAGGGGAAAGAAGAGAGGGAGACCATTTGATAGAAACGTGCGGGGTGCATTGCTCATGGTACTAATCAAAAACTCAGGACAACACGGATTTCTGGAAGTCGTTATCCTTGTGAAGGAAGCTCATAGAGGTAAAATTCCAAGTCTTTCTCTTGAAGAGACCTTTACATAAATGTTCACAGATTCTTAAGATCTACTTCCTTGCTTTATGACCTGAGCAGGATGACACCGATGAGAGGCGCAAGGAAGCTTTGGAAAGACTAAAGCGGGAGAGAGAACGTGCAAGGGAAAGCGTTTCGTTACACAGTTTGAGGTATTCTTATGACCAATTCTCGGTAGCATTTAGAATTAGTACGAACATGGTTGATTCACATTCTGTTTGTGCATGTAAACACATTGCCTGCTCATGCATATTAACACCGATTAGCATATTTGTGATTTCTAAGATTCATCAATAAAATTATTCTAAGGTCACACTAGTTGTACTACAACTTCACTTGCATATCACCTTATCGTGTATATCACCGTCCAAGTTTTCATTAGCCCAGTTTGTTGCTCGCGGAAAGAAGGGGGGTTCTTTCGTATGCCAAGTATGAAGCAGATCTTTAGGTTGCTGTCCGGGCTGTCTCACAGCTCACTGTTAGTGTGATCGATGTGCATCTTCAGGTTTTGGGAGTTAAATTGGATTCAGCTGCATTTTATGCGGATCTCATTATCATAATTCCCTTGTCCTACGGAATCGCTTATTATGGCTCTCAGTGATGGAAGGTAAACCTGTATATTCTGAAACGAGTAGTGTCTTCCACCTTAAGCAGTGCTTCATATCTATGCATTATCTTGGATAATGGAAGATCAGTTAGGTACCCGACTGGGCTAGTAACTCGGCTTGGGACATTGCCTTTGAGAAACGCTAGTCGATGGATTTTTCCAGGTATAGGTAAAGACTTTGATATTCTCCTGAGATATAGCGAATCATGCATATAGACTTGGAAGTCTTAGTTGGAGTTGGATTCCCTATGAGAACAACCTTCTTCAGAGTTCCATGCAGTTACTTACGTATTATCCGTTTAGCCTCATGCTATGTTTTTCTTTTGAGCCTCTATAATGAGCAAACTTGCTTTTCAATTTCCTATCCTTTATGAGTTTGATCCTCAGTGTTCTTCTTTAGCGGGAAATACCAGGTGTCTGGTTCTCAATTGTAGACGGATGTTTCGCGTTGAGCATGCTTAGTCACTTCATCATGACAATGCATTGACTAAGTTTGATCTGAATAATGAAGTATATTTATTACAGAGCATTTTTAATACTTCTCTAAAATTTTATGTTCAAATGTTTTTTTAGACTAATCTAGGATCATCAGATTGGAACATTTAGAGCTACTTAGTTTCTAATCTGGAGTATTGCTTAGTGCAGAGTGTTGAGTCATCTGTTCTTGTATGGTACTGGAACAATTAAGAAAGCTACGGGAGCTGATGTTGGGTACACCTGCAAGAAATTGCAAGTTCTGAAATGGAATCTGTTTTCATTTTGCAGGGCCAAGAAAGAAAGGGAGTCCCTTTATAAAAAAATCCAGACACCTTTACGTACGTTGAAGTTTCTTAACTCTATTTTAAAGGTAAGTGGGTAAACGGAATATACGAAGTTTCATCATTATATTCTCAACTTAGTAGTTTCATTTATTAACTCAGTCTTGAAGGTATATTTGAAAGGGGAAAGTTTTGCCTTTCATTTTCAAATCATTATCAGCATCAGAAGATTTACGTTTTTATCAAGTACATCAGGTTGGAGTGCGAGCTGTGCTTCAAAATGCACGTGTTCCCATACCCAATAGCTAATCTCTTCTTCGTTTCGATTTGACAGACTCCTAAACTGGCGTCAAAAACTGAATTTCAGCCTATGGTTGACGGGGAAGTTCTTATTACAATAGAGATATATGACAGTATAAAACGGTATCTGAAGGTAAGTCTTCAACTAATGTGTATACCTTCAGATCTTTCTGCCGTCATGTCAATTGCATTTAACTTTCTCTAGTATAGCTCTTTTGTTCCTTTGAGAAGAATCAGCAAAGTATCTTTATCTTGTGTGCGAAACTCAAGTATCCATGACAGCCAACAGCTAACTGCTGCTCTGCTGCCCTGTGTTTATGAAAGCAGGCTCAGGAGTTTGTAGTAATTGGAAGTCAGCCGCTAACAGCGCTAAAAGATCGTATATACTGTCTCACGGATACGGTGGCAGAGAAAGCTAACATTAATCTTCCTTCAAGTTATTTTTTCATTGAAGTAATTCCATTCGATCCACTCCTTATTTACAATTCTTTCCAAAGCTATGCTGGTCGAGTCTTGACTATGTGTAAAGTTCCTGCGAAATATGAAAAGAATTTGTGTTTCATATGTCTCAAATATAAAGATGTCAGGTTGTATCTGCATCAATCTACTACTCCCAGTTCTTATGGTAGTAGTTCTTCTCCCTCAAGGTCAGGCACGTCGGTCCCGCTTACAAAACAAAGTGTCGCGCGTGATGATGTTGGGAAGGATTGCTCCGTCCCTTGATGTCTGTGTGTTGTTCTGCATCTTGCAGCCTATCCGGTTATTCTATCACGAACAGTCAAAATATATGTTTAAACGTGTCACAGCTTATCCAGTAGAAAAGCTACAATATTTCTGTAATTTGGTTGCACTTTAAAACAACTCTTTTTATGAAGTCTTATTAAGATTCAACTACCATAAAAAGGTTGTCATGCTCCTTGGACACTTGAGTTTTGACTAAGCAAGTAAGCTTCTGTCATGTGAGCAGGATGTATTCTACAACGACATGCGACATCCAAAGGCTCTCGATTACAGTCTACCCATTAGGAACTGGGTCAGGGAACAAGCTGAAGTTATTGAGAAATGGAAGGCATTGGGTGGTGTCGATCTTAGAAAGAGGCGCTGGCTGGGCTTACCTTCTTGTCCGAGGGCGAAGAACCCTCCTACTTTTTTACATAATAGGATGGAGGATGTTTGTTTTGCCGATCTTGAATGTCGCATTGGAGCACAATTTCTTTACTGCCACCAGGTACGGAATTCTTTCTTACAGATGTTGAATTGAAGTGGAATGTTTATGTTATGCAATATTGCCAATTTCAAGACTGTTTCTATTCATTTGTGTACGGAATGATGATAAGATTTCTTGCCTCTTATACCAAGTCTTGTAGAAGGGATGAAATAAAACGAAAACAATTGATCTTCTTTTAGTCCCGAGGAACCTCTTTGTAGAGTAAAGAGAGCTGCATGCAAGTGACATGTATCTATACAATATGTCAATACAAGAGACTGCTTCTCATCTCGTTCATGATGACGACTAGAAAGAGATGTCAGATGTTTCTCTGAATGTATCTCTTTTGTCTATCCTCTCTCTCACTCATTGTTATCGGTGCTTGAACTAGGAAATACCAAACTTAATGTCTGGAATTACGCTAGATATTTTTGACCATGTAGTCGGAAAAGTTTCTCATATCACAGAAACCGAAGAAACATTCACATGATAAAATGCAAGTGATTTCGGTCAATCTGAACCTGACAATGAGCTCAATGACAGGGAGGCTGCAAACATACCATGATCATTCGAGACATGAGACTTGCGCATCCCGAAGACGTGCAAAACGCAGCTGCTTATCCAGTTCTCAGATATGTTCACAAATTGAGACACCGCAAGTGCAGTATTTGTTGCATTTATCAGGCTAGGAAAGTTACAGTTGGAGATAAACTCGCACCAGAAAGCCCATGTTTCTTTTGTGAAAATTGCTATTACTTGCTCCATTATTCAAACGATGGCAGTTTACTTTATAATGACTTTGAGGTACATGATTATTTTCATGAGTAGTCATCATCAATTCATTTTAGCAGCCACATATTTTTTCATATGAAGTAAAATTTTCTTTTTTATTCGTTCGACTACACTTGTGCACGCTTTATGTGCTGAGAATGTTAAGTTTTCCGCACATGTTGTCCTTGATTATCGGATATTGTATCTTGTTGAGAAATTTTCTCTTGGTTCACCTCATGGGACTGTTCTCCATTACTGCAAAGCACGCATTTTACTTAAATTCAATCCACAGAACATTTTGGGTTTATGGAAATAGTTTTCAACCAGCAATTGACGCGGTTTCACCTCATGAACTGCGTCATTGCCCCAAGCGCAAAGATTATCTCTACACTTATCTAAAAAGAAATGATTCCATAGCTCTAATTATTTTCTTAAATAATCCTCCAAAATATTGAGTGGTACATGTATGTTGTGTAAGTGGATGAAATCCATTACATTCATTATGTGAATTTAATCAAAAATAATTGAGAAAAGGACGATGCTGTTATAAGATTTAAATTGATAAAATATGTGATATTGTTGGCATTGAACCAAATATGAAGTATCATGTGGTTAAATCTAAGTTTTTATCCCTGGAGCAAATACATGGTATGTATTTTCTGCTTGATCTCGCTAGATAAATTTATTTTGTTAGGAATGTATGAGATATCTATCGTACTCAACGAGATCTTAAATAAAACCTTGAGCATGTAAAGACTAGACGGAATATCTATTGATTATGTATATGCAAATTTTTATATTTCACGATTTCATGAATAATTTGTCAATAAAATTGTACAAACGAATGTGATTTCTGTTTATTCTATTTTTACTGTGATGAGTATTTTTTTGAGTATTTTTTTAAACACAAAAATATGTCTATTAGATGATGAGCATAATATTGGACCTTTTTGCAAAAATACACTTGAAAAAAATTGATGTGATCGTGCAATTCACATGAACTCATGGTTTATATTTTTATGCATATACTAGATGAATCATTCACCTTGAAATATAAAAAGTGGATGTATCGAACATCTTTACGCGTATGAATGCAAGTGACACTATAACCATAAAATGGAAATGACATACAATACTTCCTCACACTTAATCATATTTTCAAATTCAAAATGTTGTAAAAGTTTTTCACGTAAATTTATGATGATTTTAAAACTCTAAATATATTCATAATGTTTTCAAGATCCTCTCATATTTCCAACTAGTTTCAATAACTATAATTCAAGAAAGATTGAGATCGAAATAGAAAGACTGGACACACAGGTTTTTTAGTGAGAAAATCACTGGGCTAACCTAAACTTAACACTTCTGTACAATTATTTCCATAATTTTCAAATCACATGCAAGAATAAAAAGTGTAAGAAGAGTAGAATTCACTATGCAGTCGTGACAAAGTAGAAGTTCACAATGTTTGGAATTTACTCGCTTTCTCCTAACCTACAGCAATCTTTAGGTTGATATATCAAGACGAAAAGTGATTCAGAGAGGTACCCACTTGTGTGCCCTACAATAGTCAACTCTATCAGACATCAATATACCAATAATCAATCAGATGCGGATAGCTCATTCGATTATAAGGTAAACAAATTCCTACGAACTGCGTAATTTTGCCTTCAAATAAAAAGATTCTCCCGCTGTGTTCACTGCTTCAGTAATGTGGTCAATATCCACTGCGTTTCTGGAAACTCTGTTCAGTCAATGCAGAGAAGTTGAGTGTGGAATCTACAAGTGGATGTGTGTAGGATTACGACGTTACGGTATACAAAGGGGAAAGATGATCCGTTTGCATACAGAAAGTACACGAGCTACAAAAGCACGGAACAGCTCGCTCGTTTCTATTCCACGGCTGCGAGCGCTGTTCGAGCCGGAGGGGATGGGAAGGTTTTTAGAGGACGGCAATGATCGAAGTCTTTCTGGATCGGAGAGAAAGTTCAGTTCGTGAGTTCGCTACAGAGAGAGAGAGAGAGAGAGAGAGAGGGGTATGGGGGATGCGGTGTTGAATCGAGGGTTGCTGCAAAGTGGAAAATTCGCCACTCATTTGAGTCTGAACAACGCTGTCACAATCCCCCGACTGGGCTTGGGCACTCATCGAAGCACGGGAGAGGACGTCAAGGCAGCTGTTCTGTGGGCTCTGCAGAGTGGATACCGTCATATCGACACCGCCTCCATCTACAAGAACGAGACGGAAATTGGGCAGGCCGTAAGAGATTCTGGGGTAGCTCGAGAGAGCCTCTTCATCACGAGCAAAGTTTCACCATATGAACAGGGTTTTGAGTGCGCACTCGCATCTGTGGGTAATATCTTACAGCGCCTTGACTGTGGTTACCTAGATCTTTGCCTCATACACTGGCCAGGTGCAGCAAAATTGAAATTGCAATCAGAGAAAAATAGGGAGCTTAGACAAGAAACTTGGCGAGCCCTAGAAAAGTTGTACGACGAGAGGAAATGTAGGGCTATTGGAGTAAGTAACTTCACCGTGCAGCACCTTGAAGGACTTCTCTCCACTTGTGCGATCAAGCCAGCGGTCAATCAAGTGGAGATGCACCCGTACTTGACACAGGCCTCTTTACGAGATTTCTGTACGCAGAAAGATATCGTGGTGGAAGCTTACTCGCCCCTCGGTGTTGGCAATCTTTTGACAGATCCGGTGGTATGTGAGATAGCAGCTAGGCGGCAGCGTACACCTGCGCAGATTCTCCTCCGCTGGGGTTTACAGCAGAACGTTGTTGTCCTGCCTAAAAGCGTGAAGAAGGAGAGAATCAAAGAGAATATAGATGTATTCGGCTTCAGCTTGTCAGATGAGGAAATGGCTACACTTAATGGTCTCGATCGCAATCACCATTTCTGTTGGTCGCCTGATGGCATTTTGTAAAGAACACAATCTTAACTTTTAAATTTTAACTCTGCTTGACAATCAAGGGATGCAGCCTCATATCCTCAAGTGCAAGCGATTCAAATCATATTGTCAACATTCGACCTCTCTCGGGTTCAGAAAATCTGCTTGCACTACGAGAGTTACTTACTCGAGCGAAACTAATGAAGTGCAGCCTCAGAGGTAAATGCTAAGGAATGATGATGCACATGACCATCGCTCTTAAGACAGCACTAGCTGTTGCATCCAGACTGGAGCAATCGCGTCGGATGATGATACTGTGTTATGGAGACCTTTTGACTTAGATGCATCACGTTAGTTGCAGGACGACATTTTTGCAGACGTGATGCTACCGATTTGGGCTCATCCATGTACCAATTGATGGGATCTTCGCATCCTTTTTGCTCTATTACGTGGTGTCTGTTCGGTAATGAGTGGATACAAAACCTTTGAGCATACTATGCCTTCATTTTAGCTTCCTTGGTTTTTGTGCCAGATCCATGTGTCTTAAAGAGGTAGGGCGATTGATAACTTGACTTACAGCAGTCAAGGACACGGAAGTCCAAACGCTATTGCCAAGATTCTTTCATTTCCAAGTGAGTTGGATATTTTGTGCATGGAAGCGTTCATGGCAGACTCATAATCTGATCATTATTTCAGATTGTTGGAAGCGAGGATTAGGCATATTATTGCCGATGAAACCTTCCGTCATTCTGGCCTCTTGTTGAACACAGCTTCTCCCGGGAGATCTCATTGTCATCAGTGTGCTTAAATCCGTGGATCATGATTCAAGATAGCCCACTCCTCTAGCTTTTTTCAAGCAAAATGGCTCTGCAGAAGACCACCAGTCCAAATCCGTGCACATATATTTTCGAGTTTTCTTTCCGCCCAGTACACACATTCAAGTTTTATCGCCCTCGGATCTTTCAAGTCTCCCACACCTCCTTCTCTACACAGTAATTTTTTACTAGACCAAGGCTGTCGTCACAGTCTTTTAGAGTTGTGGAACAGCTCTGATTCTACAGTTCCCCGTCGTACAGCTCCAAACACTTGACACTAGAGCATGTAGATCAAAGGTCCCATGAGAGAAGTTAAGTGAGTCGAGTCCAGGAGACCGCTACGGCAGTGGACGTGCTCGCCTCGCAGTAGACTGCGAGCCTTATCCCAGTAAGATTAGTCACTGATTGGTACTTAGAGCCATATCCGGGTTGGTGGTTGCCTTAACGACAGTTAGAGGAAGGTGCGTTGGAGAAGCTTAAAGAGCTGGCATGAAAAACTGAAAGAGCAGTCACATCTTTACAGCATTGTGGCTAAAGATGAGGGAAAGCATGGCAAGAAAACTGAATCTGTATCGAATCCAGTCATGTCCATGAAGATTCCGGATTTTGCAAGGGAAAGATGTGAACAGTGAGAGGATTGGCACAAGGACAGAAAACGACACAGGCTGACTAAATTCTAGGACAACTTTATACAGTCGCCCAGACTCCAGGACGACTGCCAACGATAATGTCCGGGCCAGGGCCGGGCGGGCCAGTCTTGACCCTTCGAGAAATGAAGTGTTCTCGATCTAGATGACACCTCCAGCCAGGGCTCGCTCGCTCGCTCTCGCAGCTGCCTTCTTCAGGACCCAGGCCTTGGACGGGCCGACGCTGAACGCTGAGAGGTTTCAGCGTCACTGGCGGTCTGGTCCGGTCCTGTCCTGTGCTGTGGCCGAGACTCCTCCGGTCCATGCCCCTGCTTCTTCTTCTACCGCACATGCAGCACGACGTTCGAGTATTCTTCAGGCAGGTAGGAGACTACCATCTCCCGTGCGAGTGCTTACACGTGTTTTTAGGTCCCAATTGGGGATTCCTCGCAGTGCTGAGACGCTGGACGTGTGTTGAGATGAGGGTTGCCCGTAGGGCGAGTCAGCTGAGGACTGGACTGTCCATGAGATTTAGTTACGCCTACGGCGTCTTGTGATTGAATCTCTGCCCTGTTCAGATTCTTTTCAACCCAACAGATCGTCGTGCCAGAGCCGAATACGCATCACCTTCCCCGTCGTCAATTGCCATTAGCTTGATATTCTCTCCTCATCTACACACAGTGCTTAGATCGTTTGGTGCGCACGAATCGCTGACGCCAAGCTCCCGAGTCGCACTCCAGGCAGAGAGATGAAGTAGTCTGCAGGTTTGATTTCAGAGCAACTGATTGCAGATGTGATCCAGATTTTCCAGGGTTTTGTTCAGTCATGGAGAGGTTCAGTCGAGTATAAAAGGCGATCCCTTCTCAACATCCCTCTCTTGTACACCCGTTTCGCAGCATCTGGCCTGAAGAATTGTCCAGTCTTGTAGATCAGGATTCCTTCTCACGCAATTTCATATTATGCGGTTGCTGATTTTAGGACAGGTGCTATTTTGGTATTGCGTCTATCACGGTTCTTTATGTGCAGTGCTGACATGAGTATCGGAGGCTTCTGTCCGAGACACTTTAACTCCTGCGGGCCTTATGATGTGGGAAGCTCGCTATCGAAATTCACGTAAAGTTCTCCGTTGCGGTGGCTCGAGAGGAATAGTCGTAAGCACCTGGCTATTCTGAATATCGATTCGGTATTCAGAATAGCTCCGGCTGTAGATCAAGACTCGCTCGCGGGGTTGCGAAGCCTGACCATTCCGTTGAGAATGCAGAATCATGGAATGAGGACTTCACGCTTTTACTTAGAAAATTCTGAGAATGGGAAGGTCGCGGATGACCTTGGTAAACGGGACAAATTAAAGCAGGAGGTCCCTGGTGGTCGTAGTCTACCCAGCTCTAATTCCGTCTCCTTCAACAATCGACCTCAATGGCCAAGGTCCTATCAGTACGTCTCGTTCTGATATCTGCACGCAGATGAATGTTCCCTGAATGTTGATTATGAAACCTTGTATGTATGTTATGCAGTGGTAAGTGTGAAAAGGATTTCTGTTGTTGATTTTCATTTCTGTAAGGGCAAACTCGAATCCGAAAGGAGATAGTATTGGCCTTAGAGAATTCGATAATTGATGTGGAGGAGGTACACCCAACCGATCTGTTTTGTTTTGCAGGATGTTCAGTCCTTTGAGGGATTCTAAGCGGCACCAGTTTCTCAAATAGATGTATTCCAATTTGTCATTATTGATTCACTACGCTCTAGTGACTTTATAAGTAGTGTTCGAAATTCAGTTTGTGGAAATTATTGCGCTATAGATAATCTCTGGGGGTCTCAGTGTGTCTAAATTACGCGAGTCAGTGGCTCAGACTACCGAAAATCTGCTAGAATTCGACCATCGGGCCTAGATATGAATAGTTGAGATACACATTCTAAGGATCAAAGTAAAGTCTGCCGAATCAAGAGACATCGTCTTGCCGATTACGGTCATCATGTAGAAAGATTTAGGCTTTCATCGAGGTTCTTCTAAAATACAAGCTTTTATGGTTATGACATTAACACGAATCTGTTCTAATCAGGAGTGCTGGTTTTTGTTGCCCCAATTCTGTTTTGAGGCTGCTTTCGGTGGTTATCAACTAACGAGAGACATTGTGGCGTAATTTGCAGGAATGCGATGAACAACCGAATCGTTGGGGGCCCTGATGTGTCTCAAGTTTTCAAGAAAATTATGGAGTCTGTTGGTTGGGTATATGAGTTCATACTCGAAAGGAAACGAGCCTGCCTTCCTGCCTGCCTGCCTTGAGCAAAGCCAACATATCGCTCGCAGCAGATAGTGTCTGTAGACTTGACCGATTCGTCTCTACAGAGAACGCTAGCTGATGCAGCTGTCTATACTTAGGCTGAGGGGTATTAGTGTAAATATATGCCAAGTCTCAACTGTAGCTATCACCATCCCCCTCAATTGTAGTTAATATTGTACCTTTACCTGCACACATATCTCTAATTAGCTCCCTTCTTCAAGGAATGTGTAGTTTCATCCTGAATAGCTCAAGATTGCATTTAGATCGACACCGTAGTTGGTGTTATGTGAATAGAATTGTGGGAGAGATGAAGCGTCCAGTTATCATACATGTACTGATTGCCAGAACCTCTTGGGAGTGGTGTCGTGATGGAAGCATAAGACTAATGGCCAACTTTTTGCTGGGAAAGACCACTGAGAAAGATGTTGAATTGTGTAGAAACATGAGAGCACTTTTCCCACAACCTCCTTCATTTCAAGACCTTCCCGCCCACTCTTAGAGAGCAGATGAACTGGATCAGTTACCAGGCGTCGGAAATTTGAAAGAGGTACGGAGCAATGAGTCCGGAAATGCACTGAACCGAATGAAGAAATACTGCATGGAGGTTTTACAAAGAGAAGAGATCTAGGGAACTGCCCTAGGCAGCGAGAAAGCAGCTGGACATCGTGAAGGGATACTGCCTGGAGGATTGCAAAGAAGTAGAGCTATTAAGGGGAGCGCCCAATCCAGGAAGAAACCATTTGGTTCAGGTACAGAGGAGCAATGACCGTATGTAAACGTTGATTCACTGAGCAGCAGTTTAGCGTGAAGCCAATGGTTCGGCAATGGTTCGTCAATGGCTCCGAAGCTTTCATCAGATTAGTTTGATCGTCTTGCTCATCACAGTCTAGTACTTGCAGTTGATCATCTGGACAGAGTAGAACATTAATTAGAAGCAGCACTTGGCTCACCAAGCTGAGTCGCAAGACTACATTTGTACGCATTTACATAATTCAATACAATCATTGATACATTCTAACGCAGATGTAAGTTCGCGAAAGACAGAAGGTATAGTAGACTGAAAACGTATGAGATTCTCCAATCGTACTCATGTATAGAATCTGCCTCCACAAGTTTACCACGTACATCTTGTGCATGTTTACATACGATATACAGGATCCTACAGATGATTTCATATGAAATGCCCATATTCACGAGATCCGCACTAGTGGTCCCGTAACTGTCGCCTCCTTCGTACTGCAGTACTATTACCTCGACCAAAAAATTTGAAATTACAACTGCACTAGGTACTGATCAGGTACTATCGAAGATACTAAGGGACAGTACAGTGAGAACACTTTTGTATCCAGCAAGGGGTTCGATGACCTTCTAACTGGAGGGGTAGCAGGGGTTCTACACCCAGGTGGAATGGTAATATTTTGTTGATACAACTACACTATCTGCATGTAGGAAAGTATAGGTGGATGAATTACCTTAAGAGTTAGTCAGTGTGTTCTTTACGGCACTAAAGTAGCGATGGAAGAAAATTTGCAACTAGGAAAAGCTTACACGGCCTTGAATGGATTATGTTCACTTCACAACCGTATGGTTGAAATTCTTTGACCAAAAAAGGATCTACATTTGAGAAGAACTGAATAGTAAAATGATTTTTGCAGTAACATTGGCGTCATCAATTTAAAAAACACAATGTAAATACGATTGAGTTTCCAAAGCATGTGTCCGTCTTAATTTACACCTTGTGCTGACGGATCATAATATGGTTCTCCTCTAGCTACAAAAAATGTTTATATACCTAGTCACGATGTCCATGTTAAGTTGTTTGAAACAAGTCTTTAAACCTGTTATTTATACCCAGAATTATGTTCTTTCTTTTGCTAATACTCGATTAAAAACACTCCTTGCATCATGACTTCTAATCATGTTAAAATTGCAACATGATCAACTTGACATGAAAGAGAAAGGGTAAAAATTACCCAGGACTTCCTGAAACAAAGGCGATGGAGAACCCCGCCTAAGGATGAAGTCGTGGAAAGAGCGAGTCGTTGTCATCATATGAATCAGAGCAATTATTATTTATATCTCATGTCCAAAGATATGACTGATATTCATATATCTAAACAATAATCGCTTACCAAAACGTTCTTCCAATTTGTGGAAATCGATGCAATTAGCAAGTTCTTACAGAGCCCTTAGGGGAATAGATTGTGATTCACGTCTGCTACTAGTATTGGATAAATGTGAGCACACTTCGTGACAAGAATCAAGTGGAGGTGGAGGGGCTCCATGGCATTTGAATCGAATATGTGCTCCAGAGTGCACCAATGTGCTCTTCCTCTTGCGAAACTAGACGGTGGTCGTGACTCTCGTTCCTGATAAATTATTTTTTGGGTATGTGAGCATCAAATTCCTACATAATTTTGTAACTTTCTGAAACTTGGAGAGATAGTGCAATCGTGAAGCTCATGAATCAAAATTTTATAAATAGTTTCTTAAAGATGTGAACGTCATCCTTTGGTGCAAATCCATAGATGATATCTTTCATGATTTTATACCTTGAGGCTCAAGACTTCAACATGCCTAATGAGCCAACATAGAAATATCACCTTAAATATATAAACAAATTAGATGTAAAGTATAAGAAAAAAACTGCAAAAGAGATTGAGGGTGCAATAAGAAATCTCTTCATCTTCAAAAAATCAAAGATTACCATCTTCTTGAAACGCAAGGCATTCGTGACTTTTAAATGCTATCGAGATGACATTGCTGGTATCATGAAAATATAAAAACCTCTGCAGTCGTTATTAATAATAACGTAATTTAAGTCGTCATTTTTCAGTAACAAGCTAATACTACTCATTGTGATCTTAAGATCGCGTTATATCATTGAGAAATAAATACTCGAAATGAACGAATCCAAGACGACGAGGCCCCGTCATTTACTTTGGTTATTCATCTACGTGTTAGGTCCATGTTTCCCTGGAGCGAGGTTTATTGGCTTCCGATCTCGTGTACTGGAGTCGTGTGACAGAACGGGCAGCAGGTGGACTCTACTGCAGATTGTCGGGAACAGGGCAAGCACTCAACATCAGTTCAGGTGAAAGGGTTCGTCTTGCGGGAGGGACTGAATCGGGTGACCGGGATTCATCAGTTCTGAAGTGTGAGTAGAAAGGAATTTGTGCAGAATGGTGTGGGACATCGTCGCGGCCACCGGAGTGAGGAATACTATGTTGAACGTGTGGTCATCGCTTCGGTGAGAGAGTGTGGAGACAGAGAAGGAAAATGAGGATGGTTGGTTTGACTGGAGGTATTGCTTCTGGCAAGAGCACTGTGTCGAAGGAGCTTGGTATTCGTGGAGTCCCCGTCATCGACGCTGATAAAATTGCTCACGTGAGTGATCTCGATGAATTTCTCGTTGATGCAAACAACTCTTGACGGTTCACCTATGCCCACCTTTGAAAGGCGGAGCAGGTCTTCTGAACATCAGTCTGGATCGTTTTCCTATAGCACAATTCGCTGTAGCCTTGTTGACAACCAGTGCACAATTTTCCAATACCTTGAGATTGTTTTGTCAACAGAAGGACAGAACTGTGCACTTCATATTCGGACAAGAATTGTGAGAAGTCTTCTGTGATGCATTATGATTTAGCGAGGTATATCGTGTCCAGAGGGCTGCAATGCTCGTGGTTCTGAGTATTTTGAAATCGGTGACATTTTTCTGTCATAGGATGTATTGAGGAAGGGGACACGAGGTTGGAAGAGGGTCGTTGGAATCTTTGGACAAGATATTCTCCTTGGAAGTGGAGAAGTGAACAGGGCTCGATTAGGAGAGATTGTTTTCGCAGACCCTGCAAAGCGCAAGCAGCTCAACAAGTTAAGTTTCTCACCTTGGTAGATTCATCTTGACCATCCATAAGGAAATTTTATTCTTTCAACTCACCGTTCCTATCACATACTTCGATCCTCATGCAAATGGCAGCAAATTATCGTCCCTGCATTCCAAGTACCTGTAAGTCAAATTTTTGTGCAATGTACTGCTCATTTGTAGTTTTTCCTCACTACAGAGAATATTTGTCTATTTTTTGGTATAAATTCCTAGCCCTGATGAGTCTCACCTGAAAACTACTGAAGTTGTGGGTTACCTATAACCTGTAGTATGTCGCTGAATCGTAGTTGAAGTTTTGCGCTTTCGTCACCTGCCCTGCACTGTTATCTTGTCATCCACACTCGATTCTGGTCATTTTCGACTGTCAAAAGTTAAGTTAATTATGTGTAGCCCTTACATTTGGTCTACAGGTTACTACCAGTGACAAGTATATTTCTCGTGAAAGACATTCCCTGTTCAGTAGCTGACAGATAAGCTGAATCATGGCACAGGTCTTTTCGATGCTTGTAAGCTATGTTTCTATCGCACGCTATTCAGGATAGGGTGCCCTGGGAATTGCTGCATTCACGACTCATTGGTTGGGTGTCTTCTCTCGTAACAGGGCTTTGGAACCATTTATCGCCTTTGGGTTATGGTCAGAGATATTTAAGCAATGGCTGTACGGGACTCACGTCGTTGTTTTAGACGTGCCGTTGCTATTTGAGGCAAAACTGACTTGGATGACCAAGCCAATCGTGGTGGTATGGGTCGATCGTGAAACGCAAGAAGCTCGACTTCTGAAGAGGGATCATCTACCTGAAGAACAAGCTCGTAACCGGATCCTCGCCCAACTCCCTTTGGAAGTAAAACGCGATAAGGCCGACATTGTCATCGACAATACAGGAACATTGGAGAACACCAAACTCCAGGTTGATCAGCTGTTTACGACCATCAATGCTCCTCTTTCCTTAAAGGAACTCCTTCTTTCCAGAACAGGTGTTCTATGTTGGGTCACTGGAGTTGTTATTCTCGGGTGGCTCTTGCTCTAGATTTGTCTCTGAAAATAGTCAGGGAGTCTGTCATCATGCTAATGATTGGAGTTTCCGGAGTTGGGTCACAGCCCCGTGTCTCAACGACAATTCCAGCTCTCAAGCTGGTAGAGTCTCTATGGTCGATCTGAAGACGAGAGAGAACTCATACACCAACTCCAAACTTTCTGTGGGCGCTCCAACTTTAAGTAGCAAGACTGAATGAACTCAGTAGCTCACTCATCAGGGGACTAGTACTTCTGTTCAAGGAATAATCGCGTCTCAGAAGATGTGTTTCCACATACTTCATAAAGTCGGTAGCAACTTTTAAAAACAATTGCGACGAAAAGCTCCCTTCCTTCAAGCTGTCTTTGTTATTTGGAAAACTGCAAAGCCTCAAAACTCCAGTCCTCCGAAGTGGAGTGAAGGCTCGAAGTGTTACCAGAGAACTACACCCAAACTGGTTTACTGGGTTTATCGGAGCAACTGCAAGAGCTGACAAACCAGTAGAAGGAAGTCCTCCACGGACCAGTGGATCCACCGGTCCACTGATCGTGGATGACTCCCTTGTTGTAGATGATTCGATTTTGTTATCCACTTGGCCCCTTTACCGATCAGTGGATCTCCTTATGCTCTCTGGGAAAAAGTAGAAAGTGTTGTTGCGAAACTAGAAGCTGATTGACATGCCGAAGAGAAAGGAAGGGCACTTATCCCGGACAACGCACTGCAGCACGAGAGGACAATCTACGAACTTGAGATCTAGCTTCATGTCGGTATGTGTGTACACATTTTCAACGTTGCAGATTCTTTCACTTCCACGCGTCCACTCTACATGTTGCACACGTTGCAGCCTAGTTGTTTTGAAATTCCATTACTAACGTGGCTAGAGGCACTCGCAACTCTCGTTGAAAATGCCAGATCTATGAACGATCAATAATATTGCTTCAAAACTGAACACATGTAACCAGCCAGAGGATAAGATTACTCGGAGAGTTGATTATATTTAGTGGACCAACTTGTGCACGTCAAACCATCGCCTATGGATTTCACTGGAATAGTAACACATGGGACAGAAAGAAAATCCACGATGAGATGGGACTGCACAATGATTGTTTTATTGCGAATATAAGTCATCGTGGTTTTACACCAAAATTTTCAGTAAACCTGAACTTGACAAAAAGAGACTTGGGAAAGGAGTAGGATTTGAATCGTTCATTACATTTCACGAAATGTAAATTTACATTCAGATGCACACAAGTTTATACAACAAGTCAACCACAAGCAAAGTAATTTGACAAGATATGATTTGCTGTCTTCATCAAATGTATACATGAATTTAAAATATATAAACTGGATGCAAGTTGTAATTAAATGTATTTAGATAGTTTTGGATGTTAGATTTTCTAGATTGTAATTAATCCATGGAAAGTTTTCCATTTGGATATTCTTGGAACTTATTCTCTTATTGTCTCCTCCGTACCACATATGAATGATCTTACGTTCATTTTTTTATTTACTTCTACTCTCTCTTCCGTCAAAACCTATTGATGATTTTTACAAATATAAGATTCATTCTTATCCATTGGAGTAAAATTTTGTATTTATGACACATGTACTTTAATGTCGAAACAACAAGGAGAAATGTTGGTTTACAAGGAGATGTAAACATATTGAAGATTCTTATTCTTTAGATATACTAAATGAAAAAAACTTTGAGTTTTATAAATACTAAGCTAACATTCAATTTTGTAAAGTATTATATGTTAGTATAATCTCTTCCTTGAAATGCCACAAACAAACATATTTATTTATATCAAGTATATATAACATAATGTTAGGTAATTTTTTAAAAATATATATAACTTAAATAATGTAAACATTGAATTTGTAATTATAATTATCTTCTGTTAGAAAAAAAAGGTTATTCAAGATGGATTTATATTTACATTATGGTGAATTATATATAATCGTCATAATTTCATACATGATTGCTTGATATTTAAAGAGTGTGCTTATTATTGACATCACCATGTTTGTTATACACCATGTGATCAATCCACTATGAATGAAATGGGTGATGATATAAAATTTTATTTTCTTGTATTTATTTATAAGATTTAAATAACATAAATAATAACTATTTTAGAGTTCTCTCATGTTCACAATTGTATTTCATCTTCTTGTAAATTTTTTCTTAATCCTAGTGTTTAAATTGTATTATATGTAGCTTGACTGTAAAATCTACTTTTGCACTAAAGTGAAGCGAAAGTCAGAGAGGTGTTATAATGTGCAATGGAAATTCAATACGTAGCTCAGCTTACGTCCATGATACAATCGCTAAAGCTGAATCATGCAAATTCATGGTTTCATCTTGAATTTGTGCTCTCATCAATACAAGCTTACGCGTTGATTTAGAACTACGTTGTCGTGATTAAGTGAAGACGCATGATTGATAACAAGTGTCGGAACACAATATCGTTGGAAGCATTCTATTATCAAGTTTTCTAGCAAAAATCTCACTAATAGAGACTCGAATGTTCATTCCGAGAATTCTCTGAAGTAGAAGTCGTATGAGGCATTTCAAGATGTGGAATCTATCGATAACAAATACACAGGACAACCCAAATGATCTGAGATTGAAACTTCACAAATGATACTCCAAAAACTAGATCTAGACGTCCAGGTCAGATGCTATTAGCTTTCCGAATACTAAGGGTCAACAAATGTAACAAGTGACAAATTAGAAGTTTTACCTCTATATCAGAGAGCGTTGTTGGTCTTGTGGAAGGATGGATCCTACACTTTCAGCGATCAAAGTGATAGAATATGCACTATGAAATTAAAAACAAAAAAACCTAAAACAAGAGGTGCAGTTACCTACTCACAACTGTTTCGGACACTTGAATCCGAATCAACACGTCACGAAGAATATCCCCACAAACTCCAATTAGGGACTACAATGACATCCGGATTTAAACTCCGAGTGGGGGTTGACCAGTATAGGATAAGAAGAAGCCATGTGCCATCTCCTGAACTACCCCGTCCACGTACTGTGGAATTTCATCAGAAGGTCGGACTTGCGTATATCTGGAGTTTCCCTAGCCGGAGCATCTCACCAGATACTACCCAGTCCTAACAGCGGCTATCCCACATAGACATTATATAAGTAAACACGACAATGAGGAAACACTACCACTACACAATAGAAGACATTCATCACAAATTTTCCTCTGGAAACAAATCTGAGACTTCTTGTCACAAACTTACGGATCTGGCCTTGCAGCATTCACAAAATCGGCAAGAACATCGGCCTGACGTTACACACAAAAAACGCAAGGACTGCAAAATTGAACCAAGTCGCATAAACAAACGAAAGAAGATTTTCATACAAAATTCCTTAGAGCGTTTGAAAAACTCAAATTCTAACTGCGGCGGCTATGACTGTCTCCAAAACCCTAGCCGTCACGGAAAATACCGAGATTTCTCTTGCCGAGAATTTCGTATGTGACAATCACTTTGTCACCGCTTTCAACTGCCAATAACCTGTTGTACCCAACCTAGTCTTGCAGAACCCTATCCAAGTATTCTAGAAGACCTAGATTTATACTTAGAAGGTTTTGAACCAAACTACCTTACACATTCTTCTGGTTTGGTATTAATTCAAAAAAACCAAATACCGGTTCCGTGTCCAGCTAACTTTCAAATTAGTGTTATTACGATTTTATCACACCTACTCCGACATAGTTCTCTAAATTTATTTACACTCTACTTTTTCCACCAACTTTCCCTAGCAAAGAAGTAGTGTAAACTAATTAGAATGACAAAAGCTAGTTAATTTTGCATGAAGAGCAATCTTAGCTTTTCACAACAAGAAAAATGAAGCTATCAAAGAACTCGATCTTGTGTGTTCCCAGTGAAACAAATCGGTTGTTCATGAAAGTACTTGCCAGCGCACCACATTCAGCCATAGCACTAGCTGTGAATTCAAAGCAAAGATCAACAGCAGGATAATCGGCGAACAAGAATTACAAGTCCAACTTGTATGGGAGATACAAGTCCAATCTATCTAATATGACCATGATGCTCTCGCTCATTCCACCGCTCATCCACAAGGATGCGCCCTAGGAGACCAACGAGATACAGCGATTAGACTCAATCGTGTTGATGTAAGGGTGAGCAAAATTATTACGACACTACTGCAAAATAAAGGTCAACTTGCAATGGCAAAAAACATCCGTAACTTACATCAAAATGAACGACTTTATAACTTGCATGCCGATCTTCGCTTTCTGCGTTGCTTGACAATCTGGCCGTTATTAACACCACGCATTATTTTACCCAAGTCGACGATGAGAAAAAACTAACACATCTACTGATCATATCGTCATCAGTAAAGATGATTTGCAATAAATAAGCTGCCAGTTTTTTTTTTTTACTTTATGCAATCTATAAAATTAACAAGTATGGCATTTACTTGTTGCATGTTGTTTCTATGACCAACATCTTTACCTTTGCGTATTTCTTTCTACGGCGAAAAAAGGAGAAAAATACATGTGGATGCTCAGCAAGATTAAAACAATTTTCAACTATTTTGATGTTACATCAGCAACTTTTGTCATGGATCTAGAACTTGCATTAATAAACACATTGAACGAGCTATTTCCAAATGAAAATATGTTGTTGTGTCGCTAGCATATGAGCCAAAACATACTTGCAAAATAGAAGAATAACTTTGCGATTAAAGAAAATTGGCAACCTTTTTTTTGCTTGGAGTGAGCTATTCAATTTGACGACTATCAAAGTTTATGACGCACAACTGGCTGCTATGCGTGACACCTTTTTGATAGTTTTCATGAATTACATCAAAGATTCTTGGCTTCTTTGAAAAGAATGTTAGGTATAAATGTATTCATCGTTTTGATGTATTCACCGTTTTGACGCAATTTTTGTCCTATTAACGTTGTTTTTTTATGTTTACAGGTTTTTCATTGTGCTTCTACGTAAGAACAAGAATTACAAACATTCCTCCACTTTGCACATGAAGAGTGTGCATGTTGCGCTGTGGTCGATTTTCCTCGCATGTGATCTTCTGTAAATGAATATTGCACCACAACTTGCGTGCAACAATCAACTTGCAAACATTATTTAGCAAGAAAACGAATCATTGCGGAGATGCAACTTGGACCTCTATTTCACAATGTTTTGGCCAAATTCAATCAAAGAGCTGAAACAAGCATACAAGCAGTACAAAATGATCAGTTTATCACCAGCTTAGCAACATGAATGTTAGCGCATTTCTCAACAAGAATCAACATTCTCTGCAAGCATGCATTTTAGGATCGTACACTGAGTTTAACGATGGATGAGTTTCATTGATGATTGGTGCAACCTGGGCGTGTTTCACAATTTGAGGCAGCGCCGATTCCGGATGTTGCGTTGAAAACGATAGTTGATGAATACATCCATGTAATTTCACACCGCCAATGCCTGATGCTTGATCATGTCAATTAGTACCAACGATTGGAATACGAGAGTCTGCGAGCGCACCAACACGCAGCCAACTAACTGATTCAACATGCAAGTTGACTTTCAAGTTTGAGCACGCTGAGGTCAACAGCGACAAACACGATAATGTGGTCACTACGAGCAATTGGGTCATAATGTTAGATACTAATATACAGAATTATACGAAGTTCAAAACCTGTTCGTGCTTGTTCTACTATTGCCATTGTTACTATTTTATTATTAATTTTCCACCAATAAGCAAAGAAGTATTTATTCTGTAGAGTTTAGAATAATTAGCATAAACTGAGGGATAACTACCCATTTTTTTATTTTCATATGTAATGAAAGTTTCTACTTGCATGACACTTCATCAAAACATTTCAATATCACAAAAATATCAATGAATTTATGAAAAACAAATTTTTAGTAAATAATAAAACATGATATCCAAGCTCACAAATTATTTCTCTACGATGAGTATTTATGTGATTTCATGTAGTTCTTTGTGGATATGCTCCA